ATAAAGTGTATAGTATAGGAAATACATAAACCAGTAACTTAGTCATTCATTATCATTATCAAGTATTATGGATTGTACCTAATTGTATATGCTACACTTTTATGTGATTGTCAGCACAGTGAGCTTATTTACGCCAGCATCACCACAAACTCATGAGTAACACATTGCACTATGATGTCACTAGGTGATAGGAGTTTTTCAGCTCCATTATAATCTTTTTTTTTTCTTTTCTTTTTTTTCTGGTTTTTTTTTTTTTTTTTTTTGAGGCAGAGTCTCGCTCTGTCGCCCGGGCTGGAGTGCAGTGGCCGGATCTCAGCTCACTGCAAGCTCCGCCACCCAGGTTTACGCCATTCTCCTGCCTCAGCCTCCCAAGTAGCTGGGACTACAGGCGCCCGCCACCTCGCCCGGCTAGTTTTTTGTATTTTTCAGTAGAGACGGGGTTTCACCGTGTTAGCCAGGATGGTCTCCATCTCCTGACCTCGTGATCCGCGCATCTCGGCCTCCCAAAGTGCTGGGATTACAGGCTTGAGCCACCGCGCCCGGCCTTCAGCTCCATTATAATCTTATAGGAACACCTTCATATCTGCGTTCCATTGTTGACCAAAACATCGTTATGTGGCACATGACTGTACTTGTGGGCTGTGACAGTGTTGTCTACCCTGGTACTACCCTCGGCCTCTGCCTCCTAGATCTGTGGTTCCCACTAGATGCCTTGTGCCCAACTGAACTTCAGCTTCTTGACTGGCCCTTCCTGTAGCTGACTGCAATTAGGTGTGTCATCAGTGTTAAACATCTCCTTTTCAAGGTAAAATAAAGAGGTCGTGGGGACCCAGACACTTTCAGATGCTGATCGTGGGAATGTGCTTTGCTACAAATATTTGGGAGGGCAATTTGGTAATACATTTTTAAAGCCTTAAAAATATTCTGACTTGATTATAAAAATCAGAATAGTGGTTACCTCTGGGAGAGTTATTGACTGGGGAGGGGGCTCAAGAGAGCCATCTGGGATGTTAGAAAGGTTCAATATCTTAATCTGTGTGGTGGTTTACAAGGGTGTGTGTGTGTGTGTGTGTGTGTGTGTTAAAATACATCAGTCTGTACATTTTATTACATGTGTGTTGATAAAAAAATGTTTAATTAAAAGTATGTGTTTGGAACTTTTGAACCACTAATTCCATGGTAGTGTTGTATCCTATGGTGAAAAAGATGCAAAGGTTTAGTTCATTGCATTGTTTACAATGTTAAAAAACTGGCAATCTCGAAAATATTCAATAACAGTGAAATGGTAAATAAATTATGTTCCATTCATTTTAAATCATATCATCAAAGTTTTTTTTTCTTTACGGATATTGGAAAACATTTATTATACAGTGTTTGGTAACTAACACAGGTTACAAAATAGAAATAAATCAATAACAAAGTAAAGACAAGTACCAATGCTTTTCTCTGGAGCTATGATTATTTTCCTGGTACCCAAAGAAAAAGACCAGCTGGCAACGAGAATCAGGCAACACCCTTAACTATGGTTTTCCTCAATGAAGATTCACCTGTTTGTGGTGCAGGCACTAAGTACTAGGCATTGACATAAGGTAGTCTGGTGGGCACACCCCAACCTCAGTTAGGGATGTTTGGACTCTTTGAGGCTGTCCATTATTCTGAAGTTTCTCTCTGCCATTGATCAACCAAAGTCTGGAAAATGAGAGTTGGATGGTGATAACCAGAGCATAGAGACACTAGCTGGGATGTGTATATGTATGTGCACTTGTGAATACCTGTATGGCCACCATTTTAAATATGCATGTATGCATGTATGTGTGTGTATACATGTAGACATTTCTCTAGCCCACATTCCCAGATTTGGAATCAGAAAGGTATACTATGTAATTTAAATAGTCAAATTGGTCAGCAAAATAAGGAGATAATTGGACGCTATGGCTCTTCCCAGGGAGAATGTGTTAGACCCAGAGCACCATCTGGCATTTTTCTACTGGTCTGAAGGTTTCTGGGGAGGGTGCTCATCATTGGTTTGAAGAAGATGGAAAGCAGTAGGCTACAGCCCCACTGGCAAACATTTCCTGATGCTATAAAGCAGTTTGCAACCTAGGGCATCACTGTATGCTTGATTAAGCTTGCTATGAAAAGGATTTATTTTAAGGCATTTTAATAATTTCTTTTTTTACCAAAAGCTAACCAAGCAGTTTTACAGTAGCCTTTACTTGCATGAAAGACCTGTTTCTTCATCTAGGTGGCTTGCCTATCGGTAAGTTTTATTACAAACCTATTTATGTATAAACTCCACATGTGTTTTGACATGAAGAAAATCAGAATGGAGCCCAGGAAACATTGCCTCTTGCTTTTTAATCATCCAGTTCAGTCTAAGTTAAAATAAACTTTTTTTTGGAGGAAAAGAGGTGTATGTACTGGGCTTAGTTAAAATGTAGGGGGTTTTCCCCCTAGTTCCCATTCTAGTCCCTCTCCTTTTCCCGATCCTCTCTCCAAACACATACACCATCTCTGGGGAGACTACTCTCAGAGCTGCGAGCTGCTGCAGCTGCTGCTATTGTCACTGCTACTGGTCTCAAAGTCATTTTTAACTTGACTGAGTGTGTGCTGTGCTCCAAGTCCCATAAGGCACCCCAAGAGACGGCACAAAAGAAACATACCATATGTGGTTCTTTTAAATAGCCAGCTCCTCTAGTACTTTATAAAATAATGTTCAATTTCAAGCAGGATTCAGGAATACAGATGTTGAGAAAGCAAAGCTCATTCCCATTAAAGGTACCTCACTAGTTTGTGTCTTTGGGATTATAAAGGTCAAATTACATATGCCCTCTGCATCATTTGGTGGGTAGTGTGTTTCTCCCTGAATTGAAAAGGCCTCGATCTGTCCATCAAAACCAGCATGGTAACAAGTTTTTATTTGGCTTCTTTAGGGATCTCTCCCTGTGTGATTGCTATAGGGGAGCCAAGGATCTCTAAAGAAGGTATTAAATAGTCTTTAGAGCCTGTGTAAAAACCTCTTTTCTTTCAGGCTACTTTCACAGAAACAAAATATGTTAATTAGCAAGCACTCCTGAGAAATCAGTGCTGGTTGCAGGAGTCCTCCACATTAAGTATGAGATATTTAGAATGAGAGGAGAAAGAGATAAGTAAACAGGACTCAAAGACAATCATTGCAGAAGTACAAATACAGGATTTCTCTCTGCCTTTGTGGAGCTTATGGAGAGCCTGACACAAGGTAAGCAGGCTTAAGACACACACATCTACAATAGTAGGCATCTTGTCTCTATCTAGGACATATATCACAGATTTTTAAACCACATCTATAGTGTAGGGCTGCTAATAATACCTGACACAGCATTCAGCGTGGCCCCTGGGGTGCCCAAGTTCTTTACAAAGGGCTTCCTTTTTAACCTTCAAGAAACATATTTTCTTCCTTCAGAAGATGGGAAAGGGCAAGTGCCTTCAGTCCCATTTCCTGGATAAGAAAAACAAAGCTTTACAGTAGATTAGCAAGGCAGATCTGGAAAGAGCCAAGTACTCTTCTTCATCCGATTGACTCTTAGAATAGTTTTAAACTTGATTTGATTTGGGTTTTTACGGGGGACATGGGGAGAGGATTGCAGCAACCATCAGGAGGAGATGGTTGGAAGGAGACCTGGCAAGCAGAGCCTGGGAGCTCCTCAATGGGACAGAATGGGCACCTCCAAACAGGTATATTCCCTTAGCTATGTTAGGCTTCCAGGGCTGTTTCCAGAGGGAGGTGGAGCCCACTGTTACCCGTTTGCTCACCCTCCACCTCCCCTGGCCACCAGACAAATGTCTTGGGGGCACTCCAAGGAGGCCTCATTCTGTTCTGCAGTTGTTTTGAGAACATTCGAACCACCTTCTGGTCCAACCACAAGGTGCTTCAAGCCCAATATCCTAATGGGGTCCAAAAGGATAGGTTCGAGAAGGACTTGGCTGTCTTCCAAGATCAGAGACTTTCCCACCTCATCCCCAGTTTCCCTTAGTAATCCACAGTGGATCTGTCAGCCATGACTTTACTTTCACTCTTTCCAAAGCTACTTGCATTTTCATCTTGTTGCATCTTTTGGAGCTAATGAATTCCTTAGGTTTTCCATTTGCTATAGAGAATAATAGTTCTTTTCAGCCACCATAGCAAGAACATTGACCTTCAGGTCCAACAGATCTAGGTTCTAGCTCTCACTTCTGCCACTTACTAGCTGAGTGGGCACAGGACATTTTCTTCCCTTCTCTGAGATTCAGTTTCCTTCTCTGCATAATAGGGTTATTGATAACTCTTCTTCCTCCCTTGCATGGCTGTTATGATGAGAAAATAAGATCCTTGATATAAAAGCACTTGAACAGTACAAACTGGGGTTCTGGTGCAGAGTCATACTTTAGCTGAATTTTCTAGCTAAAGATTGGGGGCCGTTGGTTCTAGAATTCTCAGATCTGGTGAATAAGGCTGTGCTCCCTCTCTCCGTCTCTGCATAATTTTATACACTCTGGTCACATCCCTTCCCAGCCTTCATCGTTCTAGACTAAAGAGTCTGCATTTGTTTAATCTATCTTCATATGTCAGCCCCCTCCCCCCACACACACACACACCATCCCTTTGATTATAGAGTGGCCCTTCTCTGGATCATCTCCAGCTCCATTATGTCATTCTGGAAGCACTAAGACCAGACCTGCTCAAGTGTGTGTGTGTGTGTGTGTGTGTGTGTGTGTGTGTGTGTGTGTGTTCCTCAGCTCTGAACCTCTGACTCTGACCCCCTCCCCAGTTACAAATCCTAGAACAGGATAATTACCCAAGACCTTGTCCAACTACAGAGAAGGTTGGTTGGCTTCAGACTGAAGCTTCCCCCTCTTTCTCTGCGCAGCCCTGGCCCCAAGGGGCTAAAACTGCTCCCTGTCTGGCTTGGGAAGCTGAGAGGTGGATAACTAGGATGGGGAGACTGAGGGGGAGGGAGGAGGGGGGGGTCTTGCGCAAGCGCACGCGGCTGCACGGACCGCCAATGCTGCTGCCTCCCGGAGCAGAGGGAGGCAGAAGAGAAGGGAGGGAGAAGAGGGGAAGGGAGGGGGAGGCGGCACTTGGGCTGCAGCTCGCAACCAGAGGCAGTCTCTCTCAGCTCTCGGAGGGACCGAGAGAGGCAACCGCGGAGTAGGATGCTCTGCGGGGCGCCCAGAGCCGGGGGCGCTTGAAGCAGCTTCGGGGACTGGGGCAACCGGGCAGTTTTCACCATGCATCAGTCCCTGACTCAGCAGCGGTCCAGCGACATGTCCCTGCCCGATTCCATGGGTAAGTCTAGCGGCCTTTCCTTCGGGCGGCGGCAGCAGGGGGTGAGTGCGCTGGCCTCTGGACTGTGAACGCCCCGGCTGCCCCAAAAGCCAGAGAGCGGGAAACGGGGCATGGCTGGGGTGGTCTTCGCGCCCCAGCGTCTGGGTGATGGACCAGAGTCCCAGGGGAGCGGCCTGGCTGCAGAGGGAGCGACGTGCGGAGATCGGAGCGCCAAGCTTGCGTCGGAGTATCTCTGCCCCGGAGTGCGGGTGTGTGCCTGTTTGTGTGCGTGTGTCTACAGACTTGCAGTCGGGTAGTAAATCCCAGCAATCTGAGGATCAAAACACTTCCTTGGAACCTGCGCCTTAGCTTTCCATTCGACACTCCCTCTTTGCAAAGTCCTGGTCACTTCTAAGAGCTCACAACTAACGACAATTAGAAGAAGCAGGGTCTTCGCCCCCTCCCAACTCTCTTGAAGCTGCCCTGAAATTTAGAGATGCAGTTGGGAAGGGGCCTGATTTGCACCTCGCTGATGCGGGGGGCGGGTGGGTTGCGCAACTCTGGGGGATGGGCGGGGGGGGAGAAAAAAGGGGGGATGAGGGGAGGGGAATTCCTGAGGACTCACTCAAGACAGCCCAGCCCTGCCCTCTGCAGCGGCAGGATCAACATTCTTTGAATTTGATTGTTACTCTGCTCCAAATGCACGGAATGTGCATGAGTGTGAAAAGGGAGTAAGGTGCAGGAGTGAGAGCGCGAGAAACATCCAGCACGAGCCCGCGCATCTTCTGAAGTAGCGCTTTTCCTCTCAGGGCGGAATGGAGGGGGAGGGGCATCCTTCGACTCCTTTCCTTACAGAAACTGGGGGACAGCTACCTTCGGCACCAACTTGGCTGCCGCTTGAAGCTGCTTTTTGGTAGTTACAAACAAAAAACAAACCCAGTCCCCCTCAGCTGTTAGGCATCTTCCCAAGCCCTATGATTTCACTGGGCGGAGAAATTAATTTGGAGCCCTGGAGAGCGGGAGGGGATTGTAAAATCATGATCCCACCTAATCTTTTAAAATTCGCCTCGGATACACTTCAATCAAATCGAATTCTCTCTTTCCAACATACTTTACATTCTGCAAAATCCCTTTGTCCCGCAGTTCCTGCCACCAGTCTGCTCAGGTTTTCTCCGATGAATTTGCGGGAACATATCGAGTGGAGGGGGCAGGGAAAAGATCGAACCCCCTATATAATCTCCCTACTGCCCGCAGAAGACTCGGTGTCAACAAAACTCGTTCACCGGAGGGGCCCCAGAAAGTGTTATCTCCTGGATGGTGGAAAGATCCGTATCCTCAGTGGTTTTGCATATTCAGTATAAGAATTTACTTTTTCATTTTTAAGGGCGTAGTTATTTACAACGGGGTACAAATGAGGCCAAGGACTTGGTCCGAATCCAGAGCCCAGCAGTACCAGACTCCCCCTTACTCCCAGCTCGCGCGCGCGCACTCTCTCTCTCCAACACACACCACACACACACACACACAGAAGGAGAGGGAGAGAGAGAGAGAAAGAGCGAGCGAGCGAGCGAGCGAGAGACAGAGAGACAGAGACAGGTGGGAATGCACTCCTTACCTTGGCCAGCTGTGGCGCCAACAACGCAGTCCTGGCTCCCCGACGCCAAGCTGTTGCGCTTCGCGAGGGAGGGCTGAGTGGAAGAGCGCTAGGGTTCCGCAGCGTCCATTCCCGCTGCGGACGACAACCACCTAACCACCTGCAAATCAAGTCACAACGCCCCGAGCCCGTCTGCCTTCGGGGAGTGGGCTGGTTGGTGGTCCAGGGCTTAAAGAGTTGCTACCTGGCGCACTGCTCTGTGGGTTGGGGAACAAGATGAAGAGCTTTCTTTCTTGGACTCCCAGGGGCCCTCAGCGATCTTGTGTTTCTCGAAAGGTCTGCGCAACAAACAGCTGAGTGGGCTTCGCCCAGCCCAGTCTCCACACTGCGGGAAAGGAATCATAAATCCCAGACAGAAGCGGAGCCGGCGCCACGCATTCCACTTTTTAAAGTCCGCAGACCGACGGCACTAGCAAATTCCTGAGTCGAGTGGTAACGCTGGGTTTCCACAGTTTGGACAGGGGAGTCATCCCGGAGTTCCCTGGCTCTGGTCCAGCACAACCCGGGCCTGAATCAGCGTCTAGGCTACTTAGGAGCTACTCCCACTTAGCGTCTGGCAACACCACCTTCCCTTGCGTGGGGGGAAGAGGACAGTGGGTGGGTGGGTTAGTGTTTCGGCCTCCAAGGGCAGCATTTCTGAGGGGATTCCTTTATTGTCAAGACACAACCGCAACCAAAACAATAAAATTTAAAACACACAGACACACTGCACCAAGCCTGCAATCTACGCTTGCTGGCTGCCTGGGAATAGAGCAGTTTGTCCAAGGCTCAGAGTGGAGCAGACACTTGGCAATTAAGAAGACGGTAATTTGACTCCGGCGTCCCCCCATCCCCTCCCAGCAACCCCCTTCTCCCTTTTGGCAACACCGCCCCCAGGCGCAAAGGCACCTCTACTACAGTAGGGCATTCCTTCCTCCCAAATAACACATTTGTAATTCGCCGGCGGCCTTGGATGTTCTCCATTCAGAGAACTGCCTAAAGTGGGGAGAGATGGATTTCAGCGCCTTTAAGGAAATGTTCGGGAGGTTGGCAGGGTCTTGAGGCAGGGTCTTGAGGCAGGGTCTTGAGGTGTTGGGCAGCCACCTGTTTCTAGGGATACTCAAGGCGGGGATATCCGGGGACCCACCCTGTGTGGCAAAGCTGACTCAGGTAAGCAAATCCTAATCAGTTCAAAAGATCAACCCAGAGAACTAGCCAGGCATCAACAACACCGTGTACAGGACTGGATACTGGGTTCCCAACTTTACTGCGCCCAGTAAAGATTATACACCTTATCTAGTCTCTTGAGAGAGGATAATCAAGAAACGTGTGCAAGGTAAAACAAAGTAACAGATACAGCATCCTACCTTCTAGCAACCCACGTCTTGGTTCCCTCAGATACATAATCCTGGGACTGGCAGACATCATATGGGTTGTGGACCAGACCCACGGTTACAACTATAATGGTACCAGTTACAATTAATATACTTATTGAGTAAGGTACCTGGGAATTTAGGGACATGAATAAGTGATTAATTTTGATCAAGAACAACTTCTTGGAGGAGGGGAATTTTGAGCATGCTTCTAAGGGAGGCACCCAGATTCAAAGACCGCAATGCAGATGGGGGCTCTGATGGGGGGAAAACTCGATGAGAGAAAAGCTGGTTGTTTTTGGAAAGGTGGAGACAGCAAACAATTGGGTGCTTCTAGAGCTAAGCATCCTGGTCATCAGGAATCTGGGGTGGAGGTGGGGCACTGCAGAGAGGGAGGGCTGCAGTAGTTCTGCAGGGAGTCTGCTGAGGGGGGGCAAGTAAGGCCAATGACAAGATTTCAGACTCTCACTGCTGTTGGTTGCAGAGGTGGTTGTTGTTTAAGCAGAAATATACTGGGTGCCAAGGAGACAGGGTAGTGAGAGATATTGTAGTTTTCACACTAGTTAGCCAGAAAGTTTTTAATTTGAGGGAACCCTCAGGTGTACCCTACGTTAAAAAATCCATTCTACGAGAATAGCCCATATTTATTCACACAATTTCTCCCACATCCTTCTTGATTACAGGGGAAACAATTCTGAGATGTTGCCTCTTGTTTATTCAACAAGTACGGACTGTTTATTAGGTATCAAACACTAGGTATAAATTGTAATAGGCATGATTTTCACATACCCACTGCTTTATTTAAGTACCTCATGGTGCCTGAGTTTTTTTATGTGTCACTTTACTGAACAAAATCAGAATAAGATGGTCCTGTGTTTACAGAAACATCTAAGGCAAGCCCCAAATTGTACCCAAATAAGAACAGAGCTGTACTTCTCCCTTCTAAAATAAAACAACCACCAGGAAAATGTCCTAAGCAGACACAATAAACTGCCTTTTAGGAGCCTGGGCCACACCTTCAGAAAATGGGTATGTCTTGCTCTAAGTAGATGTGAATTTTATTGAGTCAAATTGGCACTAAAGATAAATTGAGGGGTGATTCTTCATTTTCAAAACGAGTCATCCTGGGAGGGAGTTCCTTAAAACAGTCAATTTCCCAAGTGCAACTAGAAATAATTTCATGTTACACAATTATAGTCCTTATAATATAAAATAAGTGGGGACAGGGAAGGATGCTCGTGAGAGGACAGAGATTAGATATTTGACCTGGTGATGGGAAGAGTTTTCTTAGGAATTTTACCCAAAGCAAATCCTATCTGGAGGCAAGGCCCCTGTGGGGCTGTGGGATCTTTGCCTGGGTTGCTCAAGTGACTGAATTTTCAATTCAGTTTCTAAAGCAGGAAAAAAGATTTTCAAATGACACTATGTGGTTTGCTGAGTCACTTTTCTGACCTGGCCCTTCCTGTGCTTTCAAAAGTTAGAGTGATTATTTGCAAAGAAGACCCAAGAGCTGTGAATAAGATTAAAGGCCAGCTGGTGGGGAAGGAGCAGGCAAATGAAACAAACAAACAAAAATTAAAAAGACCATACATGCACACACACTTCTCCAATTTAGTCTCTAAGGTTACATGTTTTCTGGGTAAGGTGTTGAGACACTTCCGTGTCACAAAGATATCCGTGGTGTATCCAAATGTTCCCTCACTCTCTTTTGCCAATCTGGGGCAGGGGAAGGCTAGAGATTGTGTGAGTGACAAAAGGGAAGGGAAGATGTAAGAATGGGAGGCCGTGTTGGTAAGTTTATGTTAGAGCCCCTCTGTAGAACCAACTCACAGATTCACTGAGAAGTATCTACCATCAAATAAACTTAGGCACTCTGGTTTAGAGACTCATTTAGGGTCCCTCAAAATCAAAAGGAAGGATAACTACACTTCAGGTAAACAGAAGAAATAACTCCTGGCCTTCCCCAACCCCTCTACTATTCCTTTCCCAGTACCATGCAGTCCAGAGCTCCCAGCTTTGCTCATGTGTTTACCATTAGTCAGCTCCCGTTTGCATCCCTAATAGCTCTGTCATGAAAGGGCCCTGATGTTACAGGTGTCTCTAGTGGGACTTTATGTTTTTGCCCCTTGGAGGCTGGACTCAGGCCTCTTTAAAGAGGAGTCTCATTTGCCAACTCTTCTTACCTCTTCCCCAGGGTGAAACATGGTGCTTTAGCATTGTAGATACCTACAAACGTTCAAACCACTTCTACATTTCAATGAAAAATAGTCTTAGAATAGTCCCATATTAGAAATGACCCTGATGAGTCACATCCCTCATTTTCGAGGCTGACATCAGGGGAGACCGCCAGCCCCTCCCACCTCCCTTGGAGACTTCAGCAGGGACTGTACTGGGGAAGACAAGATGGATGGTGGGGTTAAGCCTGGGTGATACTCCCAATGCTTTTCTTCCATACAGGAGGGGATATCTGCAGGGGGCTGCAAGGCCAGCCACAGCCCCTCTGTCTCACCACCACCTTGCCTCCTGGGTCTCTCTTGGTTGACCTCCTCCCCCTTCCTTCATCCCCTCTCCCCCACTTCCCTGTGGAACAGTCTGCATGGCTTCTCTCAACAACTGCTTCCTGAGGCTGCAGTGAGGTCTCCTAGAATGACAGGGTCTTCATGGACAGACTCAAGTGATCTCTTTAGGGCCATAAATGACAGTCAAGCCATGTGGGTGGGCAGCTCCATCAGGGCTCCTCACTGCTTCATCCTCCTCATGCTCCACACCTCCACTAGGGAGCTGGACTCTTCTCATTTGCTTTTTTTTTTTTTTTAGAACTCCTAGGTGGTAACTCTCCCCTGGTATGTCCTGTTGAAGGCCCTCTCCCTATGCCTGAGAAATCCCTGCAGAGTGTGGGACAGTGCTCGGTTCCTTTAAAAAAAAATTAAATTAAAAAGTGAGTTTAGATACCATTTTTCTATCTGACTTAATAATCCTGTTTTCAAAAAAATATTGGTTTGCACTATCTTGTCTGATAAGCCCTGAGTGGGAGAATGGCTTTCTCATCATTTATATTTATGTCACCCTCACATAAGCCTAAATGTGTATAAGTTATAATCCTTCCCACCTACCTCCCCTGATACATATCTTTGTGGACTAATGGCCTCCAAATACTCACTTTATTACACACATTTGTTATGTGACAAATCTTGCCAATATACCATTTTAAAGTTTATACATGAGGTGGCAAATGTCAGAAATAAATGAAAAAAAAATCCCAGTAACTTGGCTTGGCTGTGATATTTACACTGAAAATGAAATTTCATATCTCTAGCTTATGAAAAAAATCTCTTTAGTTGGATATTGGCTTTAAAATGTTTTCATTTCATACCCCCCCACACACTTCCCATTTATCATATGCCTTCTAATTTGGTCTAAAAAACCACTCTACTAAGTAGTTATGACACATCTCTTATAGAGTGCCAGGAGCACTCACTGGTGAAATTTCTTCTGTTGTTTATTTTCAAACTGGAAATACATTTTTTATTATAGAAGTGGCACCTGATGACTGCAAAAACTAATGCTCTATCCCTTCCCCACAACACTCCCCCACCATCACCACCAAAGATAACTTCAGTTACCAGTAGGAATAGGAAAGGAAAACCTTCTCAGTGTTTTTTTCTTTAAGTCAGTCCTTTCCCCAACTGAAATGAGCAATTTTAGTTTCTTTCTGTGCTTTCAGGAGCATTCAATCGGAGGAAACGAAACTCCATCTATGTCACCGTGACTTTGCTTATTGTGTCCGTGTTAATTCTCACAGTGGGCCTTGCTGCAACCACCAGGACCCAGAATGTGACTGTAGGAGGTTATTACCCAGGAGTTATTGTAAGTATAGAAGGCACAGGTAGGTCGCAGTAGCTTACTGTCTACAGAAATTCTGGCTCTGCTCTGATAGTTTTCGATTCTGTTTGAGTGTCTAGTGTTTGCTCAGATTTCCTCCTTTATATCTCTATATATTTATGTAGAGAGGCAACTCTGGGCCCGCTAAGAAGAGCACTGGACTGAAAATCAGAAGAATCCAGCACCATCCCTATCTAACAGTGGAACCTGAGCAAATCATCTCACTCCTTAAGACCTCAGGTTTCCGGTTTAGGAGATGTTACTAACTAGCAGTGTTAACTTTAGGCTAAGGTCCTTTCTCTCCAGGCATCTGCATTCCCATATATAATAGAGGTCATCTGATCTTACCTGAAATCTGAGGATCCTGGCAGCTTGACACTCTGACCAACAGCACTGATCTCCAAAGTGATCCTGCACTCCTATCAGAAAAAGCTGTGGAAGATATATTCTTAAAATATATATATATTTATTCACTTATAAATTATATATATATATACATGTTCATAAAACTTATATAAAAATGAACATTCAAAAATTAGATAAAAATTAAGTATACAATAACTTGCAATATCTTCATGTGAACACAAACTAAAATGTCACCAGATAATATGCACTTAGTGTGAAATTTGTCATTAAAGACAGTGGCTTTAAATCCTTATTTCAAATGGCCCAGTAGATAATTGTGAATATTTTTGGCTGCCTTCTTATCCCATATGATTAGATTGTCATTGGAGTCATGTTTTTAAATGTCAATCTCACAATTTGGCTGACAAAAAAGCTGGGAGTTAGAAGTATCAAACTCTGCCATTTTCTTGTTGCTTACGTTTGCTTACATTATTAGGGTCATCTTCAACTTCTGGTGTCTCAAGAGGAATCTTTTCAAGCCTCGTATCCATTTTGTTGGGACTAGTTTCGTTAAAATTGAATAATACAATCCAGGCATACATAAAATGCCCCACCATCAACCCTTTGCTGCTTGGAACTTGCCCTCCTTCAGAAGGATAGGTCACCTGATCACCTGACATTCACACGGACAGAGGGTGCCAGTGACAGTCTGTTTATTAAATATTAGTAATGTTTGGTTTCTTTCTTATTATTTTAGATAAACAATAAATAGGAAACAGCTGTATTCCAGTGGATTGTTTTATCTACCCTAGGGTGCATGCAGTTCCCTTTGGAGACTGCTAAACTAGTTGCATTAGAAAAACCAAAACTTCATTTGAGTCTACGTACACTGCTATTGAACCCAAAAACCTAACTCTAGAGGTGAGATCATATTTTAAATATCAATTAAATGGCTCCTCAATTGCTAGAGAGCAGAAGGAAGTTTAGGACAGTTCAGTTAATAGGTATTTTAGTACAGCAAAGAGGTCAGATGTATTTTTTGTTGTTGTTTTGTTTCATTTCTCTTTGAAATGAAATGAGAGAGGGGAGGGGGAGAGAGAGAGATGGGGATTGGAGAAAGAAGCAAAGCGAGAGGAAGAGATTAAAGATGATGTCTTGGACAAGCCAGAGCTATGAGTGACCAAGCCTGGAGCCTGTTGCCTAGGTCACTGATTTCATTCCACAGTCAGCCTCCTCAATAGTTCTTGAGAAGCTGGGACCTAACGTGGGCTGTAGGCTATGCCTTCCTGGAGCTGAAGGCTGCTGGGGGAAGTGCCTCTACAGCTCCGGGGCAGGCAGGGCTCCTCCCAGCTGAGGGCAGGTGACCCACAGACACTGTTTGGTGCCCTCTGTTAAACATGTGATGTGAGAACTCACCCAGTCCACTTCCTGTGGTGAGGCAAGAAAACCAGTCGTCAGCAGAATTGAGTTTTATTTTTAAACACAAGTGAAGCCGGCGGGGGCGGGGGGTTGCGCGGGGAGGAACAGAGTGGGTAAGATAGCATTTCGGTGGCTTGGAAAAGCAATTTATAGGGTCTGCGTGACTTTGTGTATTTCAGGTAGCTGCATTAGTAAAATATTTCTGACTGATGAGCAAATGCTGAAGCCAAGATTCAGAGTCTCTGTGGGTGAGGGGAAGGTATTTTCCATGTTATTTAAGAGTACGAACTCCTATTCATGAACAGTGGCTGTGAACCTTCTCTGTGGAATATCTTACCGTGGGCAGCTAGGTTGGAATACGTGAACAAAGGAAAGAGGGTGACTGATTGCTGTTATTCAAGTACCTGATGTTCAGTTAGCACTGGAAGTTGAAGCAGTGGGGGCGTGTGTTTGCATGTGAGTGGTTTACTAAGAGCTGATATGGAAGTGTTAATAGGAAAGCCATCCCTAACGGATACTGTGCCCCCATGATTTAACCTTTAAAAAGGTGCTCTCATAGTTCCTGGAGATTGTTTCTTTAAAATGCATTTTAATTACATAGAATAAAGGGGAAAAGATAGCAGATTGAATAGCAGAAAAATCTATGAGTTTATAGATCAGATCACGTAGTAACAAATACAATTACGACTCATACCTCAGAAACAGTAAACGCCTGAGAATCCAGATTTGTCTGGGAATGGGGTACTTTCACTAATTGAATAGCTTGGTTATTAGGGAGTTACTATAGAAACTCTAAACCGGTGGTTTCCCCACTCTGACGTGAATAAGAATGACCTGGTGAACCTGTGAAAAATGCAGATCTCTACTCCCTAGCCCAAGAGATTCTGATTCAGTTGGTCTGCATGGGCCCCAGCAATCTGAATTTTCTTTTCATGAACTAACCTTTGATTGAGAAAGTAATACATGTTGAATCCACCAGAGGGGAAAGAATCCCGGGGGGGAGGGGGGGAAGAGTCTAATTCAGGTGGGCTAGCAACCACCTGGAGAATTTACACACAGTAAAATATGCTTAGCAATAAAACCAGGATCATGATGCATCATCTGGAGATTCTGCACTGTCAAATTGGTCACTTTAAATATAAATTACTAATGTATAGAACTGTGGAACAGTTTCAGCTTATTCGGAACTCTGCTGTTTTAGATTTTGATTACATGTGTTAACAATACATGAGAATTTAAATTTTCAAAACAGACAAATTAGGGAGAAGTTATTAGATTAAAAGAAGACTTACCATGCAAATCATTTAAATATTGTGATCTCAGATACTTAAAATATAACTCAATTTGCGTAATTCTAAGTCATGTGAAGCTTTTCGGGAGCATCTTTATTTTGCCAAATGAGATATCTTTGTACAGTGAGGTGCATTCTCATGGCATGTTAGCTATTCTACCTGAGCTAGAATGTGGTATCATCGTTCTAAGAGACATACGCACACATGCCTCTTTAAAGATGTGCTAGTCTGTACAGGCTGAACTGTAAAGTTTTAAAAAACTAAAACCAGGCTGGGCACGGTGGCACATGCTTGTAATCACCGCACTTAGGGAGGCTGAGGTGGGAGGATAGCTTGAAGCCAGGAGTTCAAGACCAGCCTGGGCAACATGGTGAGACACCATCTCTACAAAAAGTATATATATAAAATATTAGCCAAGTATGGTGGTGCACACCTCTGGTCCCAGCTACTGGAGAGGCTGAGGTGAGAGAATCTCTTGAGCCCAGGAGGTTAAGGCTGCAGTGAACCATGATCACCCACCCTACTGGGCTCCAGCCTGGGCAACAGAGCAAGACTCTGTCTCAAATAAATAAATAAATAAAATTTAAAAACTAAAAACGGCCAGGTGCAGTGGCTCACACCTGTAATCCCAGCATTTTGAGAGCCTGAAGCAGGCGGATCGCTTGGGTCCAGGAGTTTGAGACCAGCCTAGACAACATGGCAAAACCCCATCTCTACAAAAAAAAAAAAAAAAATTAGCCTGGCCCTGTGGTGTAAGCCTGTAGTCCCAGTTACGTGGGAGGCTAAGGTGGAAAGATCGCTTGAGCCTAGGAGATGGAAGTTGCAGTGAGCTGAGATCGCGCCACTTCACTCCAAAAAAAAAAAAAAAACAGAAACAAAAACCGAACACCAACAAAAAAAAGACAAACTGGATTAAGAATTTTACTGTCCTCAAATATTCAAGGCATTTTATTCCAGGAGGGTTCAGGTGAGCTTTCTACTCTGAAGGCCTAAAAACCCAAGAGCTTCATTTGTTACCTGAAGCTGAAAGAGACAGGGGAGGGTGGTTGCTCCTTCCCGATACACCTCCTCTTACCTTAGATGCACGAAAAAGAGGCCTCTAAATGTGTTTCCCAAGCAACCCACAAGATGGAGTTGGCCCCCTGGGTAGTGAGACAAGCCTTTCATTCTTGCACCCTCTCCTCAGCTGCTGTATTGATACTATTAGGGCCCATACTAGCCTGAGTCTTTTTTAGGAAAGAGCAAGAATTTCTGCCCGCTTTCCCAGGGAGTGGGTAGGAGAATCAGTTAATTGAAAATAATTTCAGAGTTACTGTGGGATATTAGGAGATGGGGACAACAGGGATCATTCAAAACAATCAATATCCCAGAAACCTTCTTTAGGTCAGTGTGGCCTCAGATTCACATGTAAAGACTCCTCTGAAAAGTCCAAAGAAATTTTAATTAACATGAATGCTCAGGAAACATAAGGAGCTCTGGATAGTGGGATTTTGTAGTAAATTGTGTATTAGGCAGAAAGATTTTCAACAAGAGGTGAAAAAGTTTCTACCTCTTGTTTGAAAATGTTTCTAAAATCTAAGTTCATTCTAAAGTATAAGTCCCTAACTTACTAAGTACATTTTTTAAATGACACCTGGGCTGGGTACAGTGGCTCATGACTGTAATCCCATCACTTTGGGAGGCCAAGGCAGGAAAATCATTTGAGGCCAGGCATTCGAGACCAGTCTGGGCAACATAGTGAGACCTCCATCTCTACAAGAAATTTTAAATTTAGCCAGGTGTGGTGGTAAAATTAGCACACCTATAGTCCCAGCTACTTAGGAGGCTGAGGCAAGGGGGTTCCTTGAGCCCAGGAGGTCGAGGCTGGCTGCAATGAGCTAGGATCACACCACTGCACTCCAGCCTGGGCAACATAGCAAAACTTTGTCTCTATAAAAAAAATTAAGAATTAGCTAGGCACAGTGGCTCAGGTCTGTAGTCCCAGCTACTCAGGAAGCTTAGGCAGGAGGATTGCCTGAGTCTAGGAGTTCGAGGCTAGAGTGAGCCTTGTTTGCACCACTGCACTCCAGACTGGGTGACAGAGTGAGATCCTGTCTCTAAATAAATAAATACATTTGAATCTTGATTTGCTGGGTAAGACTTTTATAATACCACAAGGTTCTCACCTTCATTGGCTCCCTGTTGCTTCCTTGGCATGTCATTCAGAGCTCTCCATAGATGCCCTCAGCCTAGTCTCTCATTACTTCTCTTTTGCCAAAATTGTCAATTCACAGTCCTCTGAACATGACTTGGGCTTTTCTGCCTTGGGGCCATCATAACATTTTTTCCTTGCGCCTGAAACATCCTCCCTGCTCTCTCTCTCTCTCTCTCTCTCTCTCTCAGTGCTCTGTTCTATCCTAACTTAAAGACACAGCAGAAACATTTCTCAGATACTGGGGTCCACAGTGGTGTCTACCATCTTTGAACTCCCTACCATATATTCCTCCTATTCATGGTTGCTGGAAAATACTTATGTCCTGCTTTGTGGCGTCTGTTGGGGCTATATTCTCATTTAGCTTTGTTTATATAGGTCCTCAATCCCTTCTCTGAACCCTTGGGTCAGATGGGATTCAGAATTTAGACTTTTTATTTTAGAAAAAGTATACAGTACATATACCACATATTATCTAACAATCAAGTAGAGCTTTGAGAAGCATCCCATAATCAAGCACCTCGTGTTTCTATAATAAAAGATGGATTTTTACACTAAGTGAGATAAAGATGATAATATTTTTTAAAAAGATGATAATATCACATCAGTTCAAGATCAGGTTTTGCCACCAAGTTAGTTACATTCAAGAAAAAAAAAAAAAACTTTTTGGTTTTAAGAGCTTTGTGGATTTCAATATTATGGAAAGGGGTTGTGGACTGGTTTACCTGATTATAGTATGAGCTCCTTTAGCCTGAGTGGTCTTGATCATACCTTTAGCTTGAGTGGTCTTGATCATACCCCATCCCACCTCCTGGCCTCCAAATCACAGATCGAATACAGTGCCAGCCAGAGTAGATGTCCAATTAATATTTACCTAATGACTAATATTTTTAGCCTTAGTCCTAGATGTCTGGGACAGTGAATGGGAATAGGCATAGGTGACAAGAGTCCAGCCTCAAAAAAGCCCTTGAATCTGACTTTGATATCTAATCATCTGTCCTTTTTTTTTTCCACAAGTGGAGGGCAGCCAAAACAAAGCAAACTAGTTATTTGTTCAGGTAATGGGGAATCAAGATGGAGGTCCAAAGGTCTGAACATTACATGATTCCATGAAGCTCTTGAGGGGAGACCACAGAGCTTACCTTTCTGAGGTCTCAGGGGAGCAAGCAATTGTTTAGAAGCAGCTGTCCATTTTAAGGAAACTGTTGGTTTTCCCTTCTTTATTTTCAGCCCCTCAGCTCTTCCACAAATAAGACTTCTCACCCCATCCTTGCAGGGAACTTCTTCTCTAGGGAGCAACAATTAGGTCCTTGTTACTTGGAGGTCACTATTCTACTAACACTGGCCACAAACACAGCAAGGTGTGGCTAAAAGAACGCAAGTTGTTATTCAGGGAACCCGAGGACTAGTCCCAGACCTACCATTAACTTGCCATAAGAGGGCATACATCCTTACAATTCTCTGTGCCTTCATTTTCCTGTCTATCAAATGGGAATGATATCAATTCCACCACACTCTGACATATTCATGTGACCAAACTAGGGGGCAAGTACTTCTTTAACTTAAAATGCTTATGAAATGGAAGATTGCTTTAGCAACACTGGTGAGTTCATTAACCTATCATCCAGGTAAGTGAATTCTTCCAGCCATGACTCAATACATATTAGTTCCCTGCCTGCTGAGCTCTAATCCATCTTTTGAACCCATATAAAAATGTCTCCTTCTCTATGAAACCTTAGAACTACCATTTATTTAGCAGACTACCTTATGCAAATCACACTACATACTTCATCTCATATAATCTTCAAAGCAACCCTGTATGGCAGGCTCTATTATGATTCCCATTTTATAGATGATGAAACCAAAGCACAGAGTGGTTAAGGAATTGGGCCAAGGCCAGAGCCAAGAATATATTATATTCCTGGCTGCACAAATTATTCCCTGCTCCTATAGCACTTTGTTTTTACCTGGTCTGTGGTCCTTAACCCAGTCTGTCTCTCCCTTACTAGACTGTGAGCTCTTGGAGGACAGTAGCCACGTCTTATTCATCTGACATAAAGCTAGTAGTTAACGTCAGAAAACTGAATGCATTGGAGTGAAATAGAATAGAATAGAGGGGAAGGGGAGAGAACTGGATGAAGTAACTGACTGGCCTGGGATTTTCAGTTCTGGAGTGCCTTGTCTTTCCAGACAATTCCACAAGACTTCCACCCACCTCTTCTGGTCACTGCTATCAGAGAGTTATTTGCCATGAGAGAGTATGAGGAATAGTGGGGTTGGCGAGCGGGGGCGAGTGTTTTTGCTTCCTGTCTTAGGACAAAGACTGCTATCACGATTCAGGAGACATTCTGTGAATACCTTTGGAAGCTGATGAATTGTTAAGTAAAATGATTTATTTATCCTGTAAGAAGCTGCCTCCCAATTTCTCTCAACTCCACAAGTGGCCCAGAGTGCCAAAAGCACAGACTATTCATGGACTTTCTCCTAAAAAATAGAAGCTGTGGAACATATCAGAGGGGGAGACAAGATAGAACAAGGAAACTCTCTTAGCACAAAATAGAGCACATTATAAAAAATTACAGGATTTTCCAGCTCAAATTGGGTTAGAGTGGTTCAAAAGTTAAATGACTTTAAAAATAATAATAATAATAATCACTAGAACAAAGTAATATTTACTGAGTACTTACTGTGTACCAGGCGCTGTGCAAAGTTCTTTGAATGTATCATCCTGGTTAATTCTCACAAAAGCCCTATAAGGTAGTCACTACTGTGGTTCCTATTTTTACAATATAAGGAAATTGAGGTTTAGAGAGCTTAACCAGTTTGTTCAAGGTTACACAGACATAGAAGAGCTGGGGTTGGAAGCCAGGCTAGTGTGATAACTACGTTTTAATCAGTATATTTTATGACAACATATTTTAATTATATCTGAAATAAGACCAGGCGGGAGACAGGCATAGCTTGACTGTTGAATGAGGATATTCTCAGTAGTCTTGGATATTACCCTCATGCACTGTAGTATCTATTTCTCAAGAGACATTGCTGTCTGAGTGGCCCTGCACAAGGAGTCCTGGAGATTTCTACTTATTTCTTCCGTTCATTGTCTCATTCTTGGGGTCTGAGACAACCACCCAGTCCCCCTGCACTGCCCTACTAAGCTGCTGCCCAACCCTTGGGTCTGTTAGATTCTCAAACCTAGGTGCAAGGCCTGGGGGTCTCAAATTGAAATAGATGTCCTGTGAGCCAAAGTAAGGCTGCAGATGGAAACCCAGACCATTAGTGAGGCTAAAGAGGAAAGTAACTACATCACTGAACTTGTGTTAAGATTTATTGGTCCATTCTCACCACTTTTTACTTCTTCCACTTTCATCCCCATCAACAACTATTGGTTAGTGATCATTTTCATCTAAGACTGGCAGACTCAGTCCTCTAATAGCAGAGCTGAGAGGGCAGTGAGATCTGTTATACCAAGCCATAATCCCAGCCACTTAGACAGGAAAATTGTTTTTTAGTGTTTTACACTGCCATTTATGTTCACCCTTTAATGAATGCTTTCTGTCCATAAATGAAGCAGGGATGGAAGAAGAGGTGAATAAGTGCTAACATAAATTGCAGTGGGTCAACCACAAATATAGGCTTTAAAAAAAAAAGATTTTTAAAAATTTTTTTAGTGTGGGTTAAGGTGCTTCCTGATTTCTAAAGTACTTCCTGAGTTGGATTGGTATGCCAGAGGCATCAAAATTGCTTTTGCAAACCTTTATTTTGTGATCTATACATCAAAGTGGAAGGTCTTTTTCAAAAAAAGATAAAGATAAAAATATAACATGTGCTCTTCATCATTATATGTCTCTTACTGACTCACCAGTCACACGCTAGGTAATAGATATTGCAATTGAAATAGGCAGGCTCTGAAAAGCTATGGTTGACCTTTACTTTTAGTTTTTGGGCACATGAGTTTCTTCTTAGGTATAATTCATAGCTACAAGGGAAAACTGGCAAATGGTGGGAAAAATACTTTTATTGTACATGTTGTATTTGTGTAAGTAACCGCTGCATGTAGCTTTAGCATCGATACCCCAGTTTTTTCTATTATCCTGAATCATATCCAGGGACTGGAATGATTGTGTGGTCAGCCTGACTGTCATCCCACATACTATGTATGCCATATTGCTTTGCAGCTCGGCTTTGGATCATTCCTTGGAATCATCGGATCAAACCTTATTGAAAACAAAAGGCAGATGGTAAGTTTTCATCCCTTATAGAGTCAAATTCTTCCTCTAAAAAAGCACAACATTTATGTGGATAAGTAACACATTTCTTAAGTTTGCGTGATTTGGTCATAAAAGGAACTGCTACTTTGCCCTTTCTCCTAAACCTCTAGGGAATGTGTTTTACTGTGACCCTGTGATATGGGATTGGTTCTCATCTTGCTTGATGCTCCCTCACTGGCCTAGCTAGATTCCTTATGCCAAAGGGATAGAATATTCTGGATCTTGCCCTTTGCTTTCCTCCTTACTCCCAAAGGAGTGCTCCAGCCTATCCAGTCAGGCTATGATCCTCACCTAGAATGCTTTTGCTTCCATTTCTGTTACTACAGCCCTGAATTACTGGTGGCCCTCACATCTTTCTCTCTGATACATAATCTTTTGGGCAAGTTTTCACAGAGAGTTCCTGCCTTTTAGGAGATTACAATATAGCAGACTTTGATTGCATGAGCAAATGTACTTGTGGCACAAAAAAAAGGTAAAATAAAATTATAAAGCCATCCTAAAGTATCTCCATTACCCATATTTCAAAGCTAAGCATGTTGTAAGATTGAAAGGAAGGACAAGCGTTAAACAGAAGGTGAAGCTTCTATGTCTTAACAGGGACCCACAAGGGCAAGCTTTTGTACTTTCCTGGTTCAGTCTGAAAAGGCTTCCTCAAGGGTAAGGGTAGAAGATACAGACTGAATTGAAAGCATATTGCAGTTTTATAGAGTTGTAAATCAAGATGCCTGGTGAGTGGTCAGATTGTGATTGGGCTCCCCCTGTACAGTCTCTGTGGCACTGAAACTTTGATAATGGGGTCTATTTCACAGCAAGTTTAATCAGATAACGTAATAGTTCCAGGGACAGAGAACTCTAACCATATGTTTTCCCCCAGCGATGTGGGAAATCACCCTTAAGGGAGTTCTAATAGTTTTCTTCTTCCATTTCACCTGGACTCCCTCCTTGCCAGTTGTGTTTGCACTTTAGGCTTAAATTATTCAAAATAATGGGGGAATTTTAATTGTAGAGCTGATCATAGCGTAGCTAATAATGCCAATTTCATGACATTGTTCATACATGATTTACCAATTCTCTGTAGCACTGTAAAGTGAGAATTATGAGGAGAGGTTTCTGAACAACTCCCAAAGGAGATAAGTATTTCCTCCTAGCCTGTTGAGGTGGGAGAACCCTAGGGTGGCCTTGATTTTTTTTTTTTCCGAGATGGAGTCTTGCTTTGTCACCAGGCTGGAGTGGAGTGGCACAATCTCAGCTCACTGCAACCTCCGCCTCCCGGATCCAAGCCACTCTCCTGCCTCAGCCTCCCGAGTACCTGGGATTACAGGTGCACACCACCATGCCTGGCTAATTTTTTTTTAATTTTTATTAGAGATGAGGTTTTACCATGTTGGTCAGGCTGGTCTTGAGCTCTTGACCTCAAGTGATCCACCTGCCCCAGCCTCCCAAAGTACTGGGATTACAGGCATGATCCACTGCGCCCAGGGTGGCCTTGATTTTGATTTTCTCCTTCTCCATAGAGAGTAACTTAATGCCATGTGATCTCCCCTCTTTTCTTCCAAAAACCTCAGGGAAAAAAAGTGCTGATTCCATCTAGTTCTGAGGGTCAACACAGGCAGATGGTGGGCTCAGGTAGCATCTATCCCTGCCCCCTGGAAATGCCTTGAAATTCCTATTTTCCCCCACATTGGGTTGTAGTAGCATCTTTGTAATAGTAGACAAATTATTAGGAAAATTTCTGTTATCTAACACAATTAGAGAATAGGGCAGCCTGGTTCAAGTAAACATTTGTCTTACTTGAAAGTTTTTATATGTACCATACTGGCTGTGCATGATGGCTCACACTTGTAATTCCAGCACTTTGGGAGGGTGAGGTAGGAGGATTGCCTGTTCCCAGGAGTTTGAGACCACTCTAGGCAACATAGGAGACCTGTCTCTAAAAAAAATTTAAAAATTTAAAAAATATGTACCATACAAAGTTGATCAGAGACTTCAATCCTTTGTAAAATGTCCTTGACATATAAGTCTTAAGTTGAATGTCCTGGTTCTTCAATGTTGCAGAAAGTCATGTAGAGTTTTGCAGGACCTCAGAATCATCATTGCCTTCATCAGTGCCCACTATAGCATCAAATAGCAGTGTGAGGGGGTAAAAAGAACACTGGACTAGGAGTTGTTGGGCACCAGGCTTTTCCACAGACTAGATGGAGACCCTGGGCACACCACTTCCCCTCACTGTGCCTCCATTTCTACATAAATAAAACAGAGGATTGAACTACCTAATGTCAAAAGTCCAACATTATTTCTGAGTCCAAGGATGGAAGGGCCATGCAGTCAAATTCCTTCATGGACAGCACGCTAGATACCAGCAAGCCTCCTCTTCATTTGGTGCTCACAGAGTGAATTTCTTAGCTTTCCTTGAAAATGTAAAAATTGCTTCAGTTGCCCATTCTCTGCCTCCCCTGCCTACCTCCCTTCCACTCATCCTGCATGACCAAAAAGAGCATTCCCATGGGGTGGTAGGCTAGAGTTCTGTTCTGCTGGAAGTCTCTTGGGGATCACCTGGTCCCCAGAGGCAGCAAGAGTGGAAGGCTAACAGACGCTTTTGTTTTATTCCCCTCTACAGCTGGTGGCTTCTATCGTGTTTATCAGCTTTGGTGTGATTGCAGCTTTTTGTTGTGCCATAGTTGACGGGGTCTTTGCTGCCAGACACATTGTGAGTATTTTTTTGTCCTGAGTTAAAGTAAATATACAATATCACAAGGCCGCACTGAATGTGTGCTGGATATTCAGCCCTTTGCTAAGTGCCATGAGGGTTACATGAGAGGGAGAAGACACAATCCCTTTTCTCAAGGAGTTGGCAGTCAAGGTGAAGACACCAATGGACATGCAGACATCTAGAGAACCGGGTCTAAGCTGGGGGAACAAACTCCCAGTGCCATAGTGGCTTATCTTGGATTCCAGGGGTCAGAGAAGGCATTCAGTGGTGGTAAGGCTAGAGCTAGGCCTTTGACATGTGGGTAAGATTTGGGAAGGCAAAGGGTCAAGGGAATTGCTTAGAACTAGTGTTGGGGGTAACAGGGTAGAGAGAGAGCACCAAGAAGCCACATGACTTATGGTCAATGCTGTCACCCAAACAGTCTGTGCAATGGCATCTGAAGAAACAATTCCTGGGCAAGGGGAAAAATAAGGGATGCCAGAGAAAGGCCCTTTGCCTGATTTTCTTTCGGGACCAGGAATATAAATGTAGGCCCCTCTACCAGATCCATCCCTTCTGATCTTAGCTGAGATCAGCCATCTTTTTCATCATCTTTTTCTTCTTATAAAGTCAAATGACACACCAGTAACTTTAAACATCCATAATTCTACCACCCTAACTTGACAATTTTTATTGTTTTTCCATATTAGCTGCTAAGTATATACCTATTTTTGTAGCATAGTTGCAGTCAATCATAGTATGCATACTATTTTGTATTCAACAGAAGCCATCTTAATAACAATAATTCCTTGTTTTTGTGTAGTGCATTTAGCTTTTCGATGTGCCTTCACATCTATTACCTCATTTGAGACCCACAGTAATCCTGTGATATATATAGGGCAGGCATTATTATCCCCATTTGACAAACAGTATTCATTCTGAGGCAGTCTCCATGGCAACATAGGCCTAGTGGCTAAGAAGCCTGCAGTAGATTTTGATGGCAGCATGAACTAAAATGGCTTCCTTTTTTTCCCCTCTTCCTCTCACTCCTAATGTTTTTTAATAGTTTTATTGAGATATAATTCACATCACATACAATTCACCCATTTAATGTGTATAATTCAATGATTTTTAATGTATTTAGTATATATCAGTTACTTATGTGCAACCATTACCACAGTCAATTTTAGATTTTCATCATCTTGAAAAGAAACCCCATACCATTTAGGTTTCACCTCCATAATCCCCCATTCTCCCCAGACCCAAGCAACCACTAATATACTTTCTTTGTGTAAGGTATCCCTATTCTAGACATTCTGTATTAATGGAATCATATAACATATATATTCTCTTGTGACTGGCTTCTTTCACTTAGTGTAATATTTTCAAGATTAATTCATGTTGTATCAAGTACTTCATTTTTACGGACTAATAGTATTCCATTGTGTGGGTGTACCACATTTTCTTTGTACATTCACTGGTTGGTGTACATTTGAGTTGTTTCCACTTTTTGGTTATTATGAATAATTCTACCGTAAACATTTATGTACAAATTTATGCATGGATATATGTTTTTGTTTTCATTTTCATTTTCTTTCTACCTAAGAGTATAATTGCTGGATCATATAGTAAGTATGTTTATTTGTTTGAGGAACTGCCAGAGTGTTTTCCAAAGTGTCTACACTATTTTACATTCCCACCAGCAGTGTTTGATGGGTTTGATTTTGCTACATACTCATCTACTCTCATTATTATCTGACTTTTTGATTCCAGCCATCCTAGTGGGTATGAAGCAGTATCTCATTACGGTTTTGATTTGCATTTTCCTGACATTCCAATGTTTTTGATCATTGGCTCCAGTCAAAGGCAATGGGCAAAAATTCAAATTATATTTACTGGAAGTTTCCTCTAATGACCACTACTTGCTTCTGAGTCCAGGCCCTCTGTACCTCCTGCTGCTGGTGACCTGCAGTACAGCATTTGACTCAAGTATTTGGGGGTAAGACTGGATGAATATTTAAGAAAATCTTTCTGCTTATACTGTACCTGCCCTAAGACATTGGCTAGTCCTCGTTGACATCCAGAGAGTTTTGAAGAAGGAGGCTTTATTAATCTATGATGATATCTATTGGCCAACTTAAATGAAAGGCACATTTGGACCCTAGCACAGCTTGGATGGGTGAGAGCCAGCTGTCCTATTGTTGAGGCCCTTTAACATCATCTTTCCCTGTTCCTTTGGCTTAGGTGAATCTGAACTTCCTCTCAAGACCTACTACCTTCTCACTCACCCCTCTCTCTGTGCTTGTGTCATCTCTCTTTTGTCTCATATTTCTTTCCTTTCCCCTCTCCCTAGTATAGCCATTAACTAGCTTGGAAAATCACTTTACCTTCTTGTACTATAGTTTCCTTTTCTTCCAAATGGACATAGTAGTAACTTACCTTTCAGGGTTAGCATGAGGATGAAATTAAATAATGGGTATGGACATGCCCTAAGAGGGCCTGGCATGGAGCAGACACTCAATATAAAACAATTTCCTTTTCTACCCCTTCACGCCATAGTTGGTAGCCCTTCAGATTACAGAGGTTGCCAAACTCTGGCTTAGTGACCTTTTCTTGCCTTCCAGTTGTCTTGTTCTTGTTCCTCTTCTGGACCTCAATGAAGAGTATCAGCCAGAGGCAGCAAATGGGCAACTATCACACATCTGTCTTCATTTAGGGCATTTGGTGGCTGAATGCTTTTTGCAAAACCAGGAGGTGAGAAGGGCTGCAACCAGCACATTAAGCCTCCTCTTCAGCAGGATAATTATGATAATTATTCTGCCACCACCCAAACACCAAACATGGGCAATAAGCCATTCCAGGTGTGAGCATGAACACCCTCATTCCTTTCCAACCAGACTCCAGGCTAAGCTAACAAGGCAAGGTACTTTTAGAACATTGAGCAGGCAGGAGTTTCATGTAGAAGTAGCTAGCTGGTGAAAAGTCCTATATCCTTAATGGGGAGGCCGGCTAGAAGGCAGGAGGCATTTGAGTGCCAAGTACAAGAGATGCTAAATCACATGTGTGGGGAAAAGCAGCCACCGAGATGATCGGAAATGGTGAAAGAAGTAGGGGCAGAAGGGAAGGAGACAATATATAAATTCCCTCTGCCTGGGTACTTCTGCCAAACCCCAAGGTCAATTTGTATAAGTTGTTTGTCCTGTCCTAAGGTGCCTTTGGCAGAAGCCCCCTACCACTCAGGGGATGTTTAGCATCAGTCCATAAAGTGAACAGCAACTCCTGCCTGGAAGCTTCCAGGCAGCCCTGGCTTGTGTCTATTGGTTCTACCCCAACCCCCATGCATGATAGCTCTCTCTCATCAGGAAGCTGGCCAACCCAGCAGAGTAAATCGACTGTCCTTGAGCCCCATATTAGTTTTCTGAGGCTTGAATAGTGTTTTTGGAGTTCACCGACTTTATCTAATCTATGTAGTTGGGTGAAAATGGCTCATAGTTCAATTGAGTTAAAATCTACAGCAGCCTCAGGAGCTGCCCCTTCTCCTGAGGCTTGCTTCCCGAGCTCTTCCTTTTGAAAGTGATGTGGAAATGACAGCAAGAGGTACAAGTCAGCCAGCCTTAGTCCTGTCCGCAGGTGATAATGAAACCTCATTGTTGGAGTTCATTTCCCTTAGTTTGAAAGTGTCATTTCATAATAACCTGGAGTTTTGCATCTTGTCCCCTGGGGACTGTTTACAAGAAGACAAAGACTAGAAGTAAAAGAAAACAGAGGAAATTTCAAGAAGCCCATTTCTCAATCAGTTTCATAATTTCTCATTAACCAAGTAGTCTAATAGAAAGTAATTTTTAAAGTATTTTTGTCTAATCTTCACTCAGTCTCCCTAGACAGGTAACTTTCAGAAATTAACCCAATCTCCTGCCTGCCTGCTTCTATGTGTGTGTGTGTGTGTGTGTTTTCAAACCTTTTATTACCAAGTACAACACTTGCTGTTTTATTTTCCAAAGCCAAAACCCCTTTGGTTTGGTGTTTCCCTTTTCAGGATCTGAAACCACTCTATGCTAACCGGTGCCATTATGTTCCCAAGACATCCCAGAAGGAAGCTGAGGAGGTGAGCCAGAATGAGGCTGCATGTCTTTACCTCCTGGGAAAGTCCCCTGTTCTGCCTGAAATACCCTTTCTTTTACTCCTTTTCATGGGCCTAAGGTTTATTTCTAGGTATGTATAGCTGATTTGTTCAGTGGGTCAGAGCACATTGCTAATGAGGCCATGGTCATAGGTTGGAGCCTCATGAGGCCTAATCAGTTTTACTTTGTTCTGTGGCCACAGGCTAACCCTCTGACCCCAGCCGGAAGCCTCCCCGTATGTGGCTTTGATCCTCAGGGGGACAGATGAGCGTACAGAGGCCACAGGACATGCCCCTCCCCCATCTCTGTGGATGATGGTTCAGTTGCCTGAACTCAGTGCTCAGTTGGAATAAAAGTGGGAGCCTGAACTCAGTGCTCAGTTGGAATTAAAGTGGGAGCCCCACCAGGGCACTAGGCCTGAACTACGGAGGCAGAGCCTGAGTTCCACACATAGGATGGGTCTGGAAGCCAAATGAAGGTAACTGAGAAGCCAGATCCACCTCTATGCTCTGGGGAGGCTGGGACTGTCAGCCTGGCCCCTCTCATAACACGTCCAAGAGGCCAGCCTAATAATGCTTGAGCATGCACAGATGAGTCTCTCTTCTGCCCCAAACAGCTCTCCTTATGTTCCATGTTGCCTCAGGCAGAGCTAGATGCAATGCGTAGTGAGGCAAAGTATGACTCCAGATCATTTTGGGAGAGTTTTCATTTCAGTATGCAATAATCCCTTCCCAACCCAGGGATTTCTCCATATGAAACTGTACCTAGGCTTCCAGGAATCTTGACAATTTTGTACTCTATTTATCTCACATTGAAAGTCAGTCATTCCCAAATAGTTAGAAAAATGGTAAACTTTCAGTTGGGAAGAGAAAAGGAAGGCAAGTGGATGTAAAATGGCCACTGCATTGCACAGCTTCAGGGGAAGCCATTTTACATAAAATACAATGTGAATAGGTGCCCTTGGAGTAAGGCAAAGCAGTCCTGCTCCAAAGGCACTATGCCAAATACTTTGATTATGTCTCTGCCGTCCACTTGACTACTTTTTCTTTTAACAACCATAAATTTACTATTTCTCTCACTGTTCTCAGGTTAGATAGGAGGAATAGAAATGTGTATATGATAACAGCTTGTCTGAAAGGCAGTGAGCATTTGGATGAAGGACCTAACATAGAAAAAAATGCCTATTTGCTATGAATATTCTCTATAACAAAGCAAGACAAATTTACCAGCACTTCATTGTATCTGGATGGGGGAGAAAGCTGGAAAATTTCTTGCTAAGAAGAGATGGTAAATGGAATTCTTTTCCATTTTTAAAACCTTTTTTACTAACTCAAAATGTGTAAAATGTCATTGCTGTTCTCTAGATTTTGTCGTGATAGCTTTCTTGTGTTAATTTGGTGACTGTAAAAATATTAACAATGACTTCCATAGGTTCACTTGTAACCCTGGTCCCCCTAACCCTATTTTTCCTATATAAGGTCATAAGTTCCTCAACCAAAAATTCTCCTTCCACGAGGGTTATGAGGAACCTTACCCAGGCAGCTAGAGAGGTACTATTGTACTTCAGAGTGCATGCGCCGGCCCCTCTGTCTTCCTTCCCACCTTATCTGCTTTCCTCCTGTACCCTGATTTTCCCTGCCCTCATATCCTCATCTCCTCCAGTCCATTCGTTCTTCTGTCTGTCCTTCCATCTGTCCTTCCTCCTCTCTGTCTCCACCATTCAGGCATGGGGCACCAAGGGCTGTGGCTGAGGCTGGACATGAGCCCAGCCACACAGTGACTTGCCTCATGCACAAGTTCGGCCAGCTCACCGCCCAGCCCCATCCCTCCCACACATTGGTGTGTTCATTTCAAAGCCATCCTTACTGTCTCCATCAGTCACTAACTCGCATTTCCAATCCCAGAGGGTCCTGCCTCCTATCCAATGCCAGCTCATCTCCTCACTGTTATATACCCTCAGGTTAACTGCCCTCACCTCAGCCGTGAATTCTGCACACCTCGCATCCGGGGCAACACCTGCTTCTGCTGTGACCTCTACAACTGTGGCAAGTAAGTGTTGAGGCCCAGACACAGGAATAACAGTTTGACCACAATGGACACTAGAAGGGTTGAGAGTAAGGAAGGGTGCATTGTGGGAATTAGGGAAGTGGAAGACATTGATCTGTTAATAGATTTTGGCTAATAGACATTACTTGCCTTCTCTGTGCCAGGCATCATGCTAGGTACTTTCACATACTTTATCTCATTTAATTCTTACTTATGATGTATGCAGAGTAATCCTCATTTTATAGATGAGGAGAGTAAAGTTCAGAGGAAACAGACAACTAGCCCAAGGTTACACAGAACTTGAAAATAATATGTATAGGATTCAAACTCAGCTCTGTCTATACCCACGTTTAACAGTATTACTGAGTACCTTCTCAGTGCCTGGCTCTGTTCTAGACACTGAAGATTCAGCAGCCAACAAAACAGAAGTCCTTTCCCCTGTGGAGCTTATATTACAGTAGGGGAGACAGTCAAGAAATACATAAATATATAATATAATGCCAGGTGGTGATCAGAGCTCTGAAGAAAAATGAAGCAGGAGAGGTAGATAGTGATGAGGTGTGTCTGTGTGTGTGTGTGCATGTGCACCTGCATGCACACTCTGTGTTAGATAGAGTAGCCAGGGAAAGCCTCTTTGAGCAGGTGACATTTGTGCAGACCTGAATGTAGTTGTGGGGGTGGGCAACCCAGGTAGATACCTGGAGAAAGAGAGTTTCAAGCAGAGGGAATAGCAAGTGCAAAGGTTCTGAGGCAGGAGCAGTTTTGGTGCTGGTTCTGCTGCAACCACTCTGGCTCTGTGCACTCCAAATTGCTAAAACATCCTTTATTCTTTCTTTCAAAACATATTTAGGTGCTAGGAATACAGAGATTGCCACTGAGGAGCTCCCAGACTAGTAAAGAGGATGGACATGTGAACAATCGATTGCAATATAATGTGATAAGTGCAGTGGGGATTAGTGGATGTGGTGAGGACTCTGGAGGCCCGATGAATGAAAGTCAGAATTTGCTGGGAGGGAGCAGTGTCAAAGAGTAGGTGATGTGGGAGCTGAAACTTACAGAATAAGTAGAGAATTAGGAAACAAACCAAAAGAAGATAGAGGTGGGAAGGATATTCCTGGTAGTTGTGAAGAGGTAGGAGGTGGAGGTAGTTACAGAAGGTGTGGTAGGAGGTGAGACAGAGGTGTAGCCAGAGATCAGATGATAGAGAACTCATTGACCATAAGAATGGCTTCAGACTTGACCCTGTAGGCAATTGGGGGCCATCGAAGGGTACAGCATGGAAGACGGACTTGAGTGGTTGAGGAATGGAGGCAGCTAGGAGGCCACTGCAAGAGTGCAGGCCATAAAGAATGGAGCCTAGATCAAGTTGGAGACAATACAAAGCAGGGAATCATTTTAAGAGCAATCTGGAAGGTGGAATCAATAGGGATGTGTGCGTAGGTGATGTGCACAGTGAGTGAACACCTCTCCATGCAGGGTATGTTGACCAATGTCTGTCATGCACGTATTTCCTTCAGAATCTTAGTGAAGGCGAACTGAGGGTCATGGGAGGGAGAGAGTAAGGGGAGGAACCTGCAGAGTGGGGCTGGATGGAGCTAGATTCAGAGGCAGCAGGTGGATGCAGCCCCCTCCTCACTCACATTCCCTACTGTTGGTATTTTGGGGTCAGTTACTCTGGTTTAAGGATTAAGACTTGCCAGGCTAGAGGCAGGGAGGAGAAGGCAGAGACCATACACCAGCCCTTTACCTTCTTGGCTTGTGCCAGTCCTGTTTCGTTGAAAGGTTTGGCAGTGGAGAAAGAGAAATTTACAGATTCAAATGAGGTTTAGGGATTGTCTGGGGAGTTCAATTATTTATGTTGTAATAATAACCATCACTTGTAAAAGACATCCCTCCTTAGCAGCAATGATTGAGAGCTGGCTATAACTGTACTTCCTCAGCCCATCCTTACAGACATGATCAAAGAAATGTAACACAGGTCCTAGGTGAATTGGGGTTATTTTACTATTTTTCCTCTTGCCTCCCCTCATCCTTCTTTCCCCGATCTGTCTTTCCCTTTGTTTTTATCTCCTCCTTCTTCTCTCCCTCCCCCTGCCATCCTTCTCCGTTTTCCTTGGTGCTCTCCTCTCCTTTCCCATTTCATGGCCTCCTAGGGTGGTGCTGGGAGCTGGCCAGAACTGGGCCTGAGATCTCAAGGAGAGAGGAGGCCCACTGAGAGGGCTGAGAAGTGATTCCTTGCAGACACACCTTTCTCTCTGTGACAGTGTGTTTCTGAAAAAGGTTTGAATACACAAAATCCTACTTTAAATTCCATTTAGCTGAGCCCTCAGGTGAATTGTTTTTGAAAGTGGAGGCTCAAGTCCCTTCTATCTTCCTGTCATTCTGAACTTCATAAAAATCGACTTCCTTACTTTCTTAAAGCAAGTTATACCAGAATAGTCTTCAAGGAATTTTATGAGGATCTGTGCAAAACTATGCACTCCCTAAGGGCAGGGAGCATGACTTAATCTTATCTATACTTCCCTGGCCCCAGCACAGGGCTGGGCATGAATAAAGAGCTGATGAAAAGGGAGTGATGTTTGTTGAAAAGGAACAAAAAGAAGAACTCCCTTTTCACTGGGGAAAATAAAATATTGGACTAGGCAACTGAGAGGGGTCATGGGAACAGTCCTGCTAAAGATCTTCAAGTCTAGAAATATCTTTCACCTACCTAGTGCCTGGAAGTCAGCCCCAGACATCTCTCAAAGCCCTTTCCCAAGTCTGTAGTGCTAAGATTCCAAGGGCAAAACCACTAGAAAAGGACTTCCTTAGCTTTTCCTGAGGAAACAGTCCCACCAGGCCATAAACCCAGGCTGAGACTGAAGAGGCGAGGGTCCACAATAGAGGAAAACGTTTTTTCTTGACCTGGGGCTTTTTCCACCCAGAGCCAAAGAGATCTAAACTCAAGGCCTAAATATAGCTAGCAATAAGCATTCTGAGGCTTGGAGACTTTAATTTTGCCAAATGTGTATTTGTTTTCCTCACACGAAGCCTATTTTTAATCAATTGCCAGCTCCTCCAGTCCATTTCCTGGAAAGGAGGCCAAGAAAAAAAAAAGTGGGAACAAAAACATCAGGCAGTCATTTGTACAGTACTACAGAAACAGAGTCTCTACTGTCCCCCCGAACCCACAGACCTTCTTTGACGTCAGGGGTGTTGAGGGTTTAATACCAAACATAGATTATTCTATTTAGCCTCATGCAGGAAGGTGGCTTTCTCTAGGACACAGCTCCTCAGCTGTGTCCTTTCAGAGTAAAGTACAGAGAAAGTTGCCTTTCAGAGTACTTCAGGCTTTCACCTACTCACTCATCTTTGGAAAGGTCAAATCAATATCACTGGTTTTCAGCACGTAACCTAAAGGAAATGAAGTGATTTGTGAACAGCATTAGCTGGTAACAAAATGAAGGAAGATAGCCTACTTCCATTCACTCCTTTCTTCGACAGACTTTTCTTGAGCTCCTACTATGTGCTAGGGGCTGTTCTAAAAGAATGGGCATCAATAAGACACAGCTTTGCCCTTAAGGAACTCAATTTGCCAGGGGGATGGCAGGGAGGGGGACTTAAATGTATATGCAGAATGCATACAGCAGGAGAGAGACACACAGAGGCTGGCCGTTGCCACTGCCTGTCCACCAAGAATTGGTGAGTGCTCCAGGCCCTTATGGAAGAGCAGAAGGATACCCTCCTGCCTTATCTAAGATCTTCTGCTGCCTACTTTGTTAAGTAGGAGACTGAAACACGGAGAACTTATCCGTTTCTCTAGGTCCACCCAGAATGTTGAGAGCAAGGGGATAAAAGCCCACATTGGGTAATCAATCTCATGATCAATACAATAATTAGTCTTTGCACTCAGTTACTCATTCACCGAGTATTTATTGATGACCTTTAATGTTTCTACCACTGTGCTAGGCAGTGAGAGAGACCCAAAGGAATGTTAAGAGACGACCCTTGCCCTCAAAACGTTGCGATTTCAACAGAAACATCATGTCGGCCTTGGCCTTGATTGTAACATTAGCACCAGCACAGTATTTAGCACTGATACACTCCCAGTACATATTAGATTAAATAAATAACTGAATTATTGATATACACAAAGTGCCAAACTAAGAGGAATAGACTATGGGAGTCTAAGGAAAAAGCTAATGAATGGGTAGTGGCATCTTTGAAGAAGGCACTATTGAAGCTTTGAGCAGTGAGAAAGATTAGGATAGGCAGAGAACAGAAAGCAATACCTTCAATGCAGGGGAGAAATCTGAGCACAGGTTTGGAATTAGTACCCAGCATAACCAGTGTGGGGCTTCTGTGGACTCCAGCCTGGCTGGAGTGTGTACTCCATTTTGGTACTGGACTTTGGCAGACTGAGGAATTTGAACACTTCCCTGAAGGTACTGGGGAGCCACAGAAGGGTTTTGATTAAGCGAATGACATGTTTTTAAAAGTGTTTTAGGAAGAGTAATCAGGCAGCAGTAGAGTCTGGCAGGACAGCCTTACAGTGATGGAGGCATGAGGATGGGAGCAGTGGGAATGTAAAAGGTGCAATTTCAGAGGAAGCTCTGCCCAGAGACTGAAGCAAATGGGATCCTGAATCTCAAGCAGAAAAAAACCACATTAATTTGCTAAACCCGAACCATATCTAAGAATTAGCTTTCTTTTCCTTCATGGTTCAGTGAAAAAAAAAATTAAATAGCTGCTGGAACCACTCAAACTGAAACCAAGTATATATTATCTAAAATTATTGAATATTTTAAGACAAACTACTATCCTATTCCCATATTGTGGTTTGTGCCTACAAAGTCTTAATACTGGCCAGGCACAGTGGCTCACGCCTGTAATCCCAGGACTTTGGGAGCCTGAAATGGGAGGATAGATTGAGCCTAGGAGTTCAAGACCAGCCTGGGCAACATGTCAAAACCGCAGCTCTACAAAAATTAGCTGGGCATGGCGGTGTGAGCCTGCAGTCCCAGTTACTTGGGAGGCTGAGGTTGGAAGATCACTTGAGTCAAGGAGTTTGAGGCTGCAGTGAGCCATGTCTATACCACTGCATTCCAGCCTGGGTGACAGAGCAAGACCCTGTCTCAAAAAAAAAAAAAAGGAGAAAAAAAGAAAAAACCCAACCAACCAACCAACCAAACAAACAAACAAAAAACAAAATAAAGTGTTAATACCTTTAAGAACAGGGTTCAAAGGTTTGAATTGTGTTGCCAGAGGCTGGCTCTTAGAAGGAACAAAATGTAGCTACATATTTTAGTGGGGGATCTTATTATATGTCGGAGTACTGCTTTCATGCCTGCTGGCATTACATCCCCAGGCTCAGAGAAGTTAAGTAAGTAACCCAAGAGTAAGAAAGAAAGTTGCTAGAGTCAGCATCTGGTGACAGAGCATAGATGACAGAGCCAGGATTCAAACACAGTCTGACTTCAGAGTCAGCTATGGCATACTGCCTGCCTATATATACTACTAGTCCACCCTCGGTGTTTTAGGAGGCAGGCAAACATAATTTGGGGGATGTCAGAAGTTAACTCCCAAGCCACAAAGGTGCTCCTATAGTTCCACACTCACCCATACACAGAGGCCTTTGCTGTTCAGAGAATAGTCCTTGTACAGCTGTCCCTTTTGGGGGGCAGTAAGTAATCTGTGCATCCTCCCTACCCTATCCCCAGGGCCTAGTACAATGCCAGCTAATAGGAGACAATGTATGCTTATGCATGGGCTCTTGAGATACGCTCCTGAAAATACTGAAATCCAATTCAATCTCTGATTAATTGAAACTCCCTTAAAATTCCACTATGGGCCGAGTGTGATGGCTCACACCTGGAATCCCAGCACTTTGGGACACTGATGTGGGAGTATCACTTGATGCCAGGAGTTCAAGACCAGCCTGGCCAACATATCAAGACCCTGTCTCTACAAAAAATATTAAAAAAAAAAAATTCCACTACGGGAGCTTACTATTAAAAACAGTGGGTCTCAAACACTGATGAGCTTGTTAACACAAATTCCTGACCCCATCCCCAGAGATTCTACCAGATTCACTAGGACTGGGGCTGGGCCCAGGAATCTGCATGTTTAACCATCTCTCTTTCTCAAAGATACGTCCACAGATACACGCAGAGACACCCACAGGCACACACAAATAATGCACTGATACAAACAGGCAGACACACATAGACACAAACACAGATGATTCTGAGGCAGTCTGCCCTGTAACCACACTGACTTCACCTCTTTAGAGAAACACTGACTTTAAAGAATATGAAGATAAATTCATCTGTAAAGTTTAAGTCTTTTCATATGTGAATAATCCCTCTCTGATTCATTTTGGAGATCAACCTTTGATTGTTTTTCTTTTTCCTTTTTTGCATTCTTATAGCAGGGGAGTCACATGTAATAACCATCCTAATGCCAGGGTGTTTCGTTGTGACTTTAAGAACCACAGTGTTTTGGATTCATAATGAACTCCAGTGGCCAAGTTGTAAACTAGTTTGTGACATCCAGGAGGACAGGAACTTTCATTTAATTAATTCCACAGGTATTTATGTAACACCAACTGTGTGTCAAGCACAGCAGTGAGCAAAATGAACTGTTCCTGCCCTCATGGAGCTCATGTTCAAGTTGGGGAGGCAGACAATAACGTAGTAGACACAACAGTAAGATATTTTCACATAGGAAAGAATGCTACAGGGAAATTAGAAAAGGGTGATGTATTGCTTAGCTTGGGCTGCTATAACAAGATACCATAGACCAGGTGGCTTAAACAACAGAAATGTACTTATTTCTCACAATTCTGGAGGCTGGAAGTCTAAGATCAGAGTGCCAACATGGTCGAGCTCTGGTGAGGGCTCTCTACCTGGCTTGTAGCCACTTCCCCTCTGTGCTCACAGTGACATTTCCTTTCACATTCAAGTAGGGAGGGAGAGAAAGAAAGGCTGGTGGGGGGTGGGGTGCGGAGCGGAGAAGTCAGGGGAGAAGGCGGAAAAAGAGGAGGAGGAGGAGGAGAGAGAGCTTCCTTTTCTTATAAAGCCACCAATCCTATCTGATTAGGGCCCCACTCTTATGGCCTTATTTAACTTTAATTATCTTCTAAAAGTCATGTGTAAAAATACAGTCACATTGGGGGATAGGGCTTTAACATATGAATTTGGAGGGACAAAATTCATTCCATAGCAGATAATGTGATAGAGAGCAACAGGGCTAGGAAGGGGTGTCTTTGGACAGAGTGGTCAAGAAAGGCCTCCCCACAGAGGCAACTTTCAGGTTTTGTGCAGCAACTCAGCTTTAGTTCTTTACCAGGACATTGGTTTTTGTTTATTTGTTTGTTTGTTTGTTTCATTTTGAGAGGGCACACACTGAAGTCTTTGAAGCCTGAATTCAGGTCCCAGTTCTACCACTTATGACTTGCGCAAGTTCTTTAACTTCTCTATGCTTCACTTTCTTCATCTGTAAAAATGGGCATGATGATAGTTCCTATTTGATAGAATACTGTAAGGATTTGCAGAACTTTCTGCAATGATGGAAATGTTCTGTAATCTGCTGTGTCCGGTATAGTAAACACTAACCACATGCGAGTACTGAGCACTTGAAATGTAGCTGGTGAGACTTACCAACTGAATTTTTCTTTTTACTTAATTTTACTTAATTTAAATTTAAATAGCCACGCGTGGCTAGTAGCAACCATATTAAACAGCACAAATTTAATGAATTCACATATGTGAAATGCTTAGCACTGTGTCTGGTACATAGCAAGTATCGATAAGTGCTATCTAGGATTAGTGTTAGTGATGTTTACAAGTATTTTTCTGGCAGGTGGAAGGATTTTTTTCGGGGAGTGGGGATAAACAATCACACTTTGATTTATTATAGTGCATGGCTATGATGTCTCTTACTACAGCTCCCCACCTGCCCACCTGTCTTTTCACTGAGCTGTATGGTAGCCCAATCCCAGGGTTGGAGAGGGGGTTGGGGAGGACAGCCTGCTCCCTGGGGACTGACTGGAGCGTGCTCCTCCCTGTTCAGCCGGGTGGAGATCACTGGTGGGTACTACGAATACATCGATGTCAGCAGTTGCCAAGATATCATCCACCTCTACCACCTGCTCTGGTCTGCCACCATCCTCAACATTGTTGGCCTGTTCCTGGGCATCATCACTGCCGCTGTCCTTGGAGGCTTTAAGGACATGGTAAGGAAAGAATTGACTTTGCATTTCACAGTGGCCCCTGTTGGGGATAGGGGGAAGGCTAGGCAGTTGGGGGAAATGCAGACACATATTTTGAAGGGAGGAATCAGAAGCAATTGCTTCAAGGATGTAGCTGCCTTCAAATGTGTCAAGTTGAAGGAGCCAGGTAATGTTATCAGTCTGCAAATATTTCTTGTTATACACAAATTACCTTGTTCTGGAGGCACCTTCTGGGGGTGGGGTGAGAGGAGGAAGGGGTGTTCTCAGTTCCCCCATTCGCACTGGTTATGTAAACATAGTAGCCCACACTTTTAGTAAAATTTTTTGGGAATAGTTTTCCCCTAACAAACTGGGAGAGATGGAAGGAAAGGTTATTCTAGCTATAGGTGGGATTAATGCTAGTCTCCCCCTCCCCAGGTATTTCATCCTGAAGTTTCTTCAGAAAGAGCATCTGGGCTCTTTTCTGTTTGCATTCGCAGAGCCAGCTCTAGGCTAGGCTGCTTGCCAGGTCTTGCCTTCAAGTTGAACCTCAACCTCAGCCTCCCCACTTTCCATTCTTCCCTTCCAAATCTTTTCTATTTGTGTGTGTGTGTCTGCAAAGGCACACCAGGACTCAGCATTCAGTAGGTACTCCATATAGTAGGCTTCTTTTTTTCCTTTCCCTTTAAGGCATTTCTAAGCATTTATTTGCTTATTTGATAAACCTAGATCTCTAATTATGGAGACAATAGCTTTGAGTTATGGTTATCAACCTGGCTTCATATAAGAATCACCTGCCCAGCATGGTGGGTCATGCTTGTAATCTCAGCCCTTTGGGAGGCCAGGACAGGAGGACTGACTAAGCCCAGGGTTTGAGACTATGCTGAGCAACAGCCCCTGTCTCTATTGAGAAAAATCAACTTTTTAAAATTAGCTGGGTGTAGTGGCACATACCTGTAGTCCCAGCTACTGGGGAGGCTGAGGTGGGAGGATCACTTGAGCCCAGGAGGTTGAGGTTGCAGTAAGCCATGACTGCACCACTGCACTCCAGCTTGGGTGACAGAGTGAGATCTTGTCTATAAAAATTTAAAAAAAAATGCTTGGGCCCCTTCTCTGATTTAACTGGTCTAAACTGAAGCCCAGGCATCAGGTTTTTGTTTTTGTTTTTGTTTTTTTTTAAGCTCCCAGGTAATTCTGATCTGCAGCCATGATTGAATACCACTGCTTTAAATGAACGTCCCACATCTGTTTATGGAATTATTTTGTGCCTAAGAGGGACTTTCCTTTGACGCCAGAAATTAGCCCCTAGGCCCTTGGCTGTTTCTGTCAGATTTTGGGGTCCCTGAAGAACAGAAACCTGAAAGGCAGTTTGTAATTTGATCCTGGACTGTCAAAAGGATAAATGTCGGAAAATGAAAGGTGGGGTAGGACAAGGGAAAAGAAAAACACTCTATCGTTTTGGACCGCAAGTCTCCAGCAGTACTGGGCTGACTGGAAGTATTAAGTGTTCCTGCTAGTGACTCTAAGTCAAGAGAAATCCTTTCCTGCCCGTCTGCACTCTGTCTTTCTCTCTTCTTTCTCTCCCTCTCTCATCTGCGCATTTCTCATCCCAGCTTCCCTCCCCGGACTCTGGAATGCCCAAGCACTAACAAGTAGGGGAAGCATCAACAAAGGTGGAGCCCCAGGAGGGAAAAGGATTTCCTGTAAATTTGGCCTTGAGAAAGCTTTCAGGTTAGAGAGCTGCAAAAAAGCTGTTTCTGGGTTGGGGCTTCTTTGGAGAAAAGAAAGCCCTTTGTTCTTGGAGACTTTCCCCAGGGGGGCAGATGAAAGTACAGGTATTGTGTGGAATCTCAGCAGCTTTGGCTGGAAGAGAAGCTCCCAGGTTTGGCGAGTTGAAGAGATGGGACCTCAGGATGGGCATTAAGAGTTCTCTAAATTGTCCCTAGAGCTTTCAGCCTTGGATGGCAAAGCTACCTTGATGCACAAATGGAGTAGGTGGTAGCTACTTGGTAGGCTCTGTGGGGTGCCTGTAAGGCTTCCTCCCTCTCCAATTTTACCCTACTGTGGGTGCTGAAACTGCCACCATGTTTTATTCCTTACTTTAAGATAAGCATTGTCCTTTTTCTCCTTGTCTGCTTTCCAAATGCATGTATTAAACAAAGGAATAGGCTTGTAGGCCACAGAGGTGTTAATACTTTGAGTTACTAATCTCTCAGCGTGAAGGATTTGATAAGACCCTTTCCATGGTGATGGAAAAAATTGGATTTTGAAGGCAAAGGGCATCTGAGGAAGACAGGGAGAGTGGCTAGATGGACACTTCCAAGAAATTTCTGGAAGTTGGAAAGAAGGGAGGAGTAGGAAGGTGATAAGCTAAGGAATACAACCCTGCCAAGCTTTTAGCCTTAGCTTTAGTCTCCTGTTTTCCCTCACTGTGCCCCTTTTAAAAAATTGAGGCGGAAGTCACAAACATAAAATTGATCACTTCAAAGTGTACAATTCAGTGGCATTTAGTACACTCACAATGTTGTGCAATCATCATTTCTGTCTAGTTCTAGAACTTTTTCATTACCTGAAACCTGTACCCATTAAAGAGTCACTTCTTGTTGCCCCTTCCCTGAGCCCCCAGCAACCCCTAATCTGCTTTCTGTCCCTATGGATTTACCTATCACAGGTATTTTCTATAAATGGAATCATGCAATATTTGAACTTCTGGGTCTGGCTCCTTTCACTTATCATAATTTTTATTTTTAAGATTCATCTACCTTGTAGCATATATCAGTGCTTCGTTTCTTTTTATGGCTGAATAATATTCCATTGTATGGATAGACCACATTTTATTTAGTTTTTTATCCATCGATGTACATTTGGGTTGTTTTCACATTTTAGCTACCGGAAATAGTGCTGCCATGAACAATCATGTACAAGTACTTGTTTGATTGCCTGCTTTAATTCTTTTCCCACCTATGGGTGGAATTGCTGGGTCTTTTGGTAATTCTATGTTTAACTTTTTGAGGAGCTGCCAAACTGTTTTCCGTGGCAGCTGTGTCATTTTACGTTCCTACCTGCAGTGTGTGAGGGTTCCAATTTCTCCACATCCTCACCGACATTTTCTTGAAAAAAATTATAAACATTCTAGTGGGCGCAAAGTGGTATCTTGTTGTGGTCCTGATTTGCACCTCCCTGCTGACCAGTGATGTTGGGCATCTTTTTATATGTTTGTGTGCAATTTGTATGTATATCTTCTTTGGAGAAATATCTATTCAAGTTCTTTGCCCATTTTTTTCTATTTTCCAAACAATATTATAGTTTGTTAAGCAAAATTTTAAAGTATTATAAAATGTTTAATTTTCATCAGCTTCAAGGTTTATGTTACCCCCAAATTTTGTATATAACTGAAGTTTCAAATCTGCTAACACTCTCTGAATTGGTACCACTGTGGATTCTAAGGCATCAGTTTCTTCTTGCCAATTTTTCTTTGCTTCTTCTAACATTTCTTGTGCTTCATCTTGAGAATGGCTAATGAAAACATCACCAATTTGATAAGGTATCATTAAGCAGTCATCATCTGCAAGCATGATGTCATTGCAAACATCTTCTAAATTGTGGAGTTGTTTCCTTTTTACTTCTGTTTCTTCCTTCGGCTCTATTATCCTACTCATATTCCTTGCAAATTTGTTTACCTTTTGTTGATCTTCAAAAGTAGCATTGAAATTTTCTGCAGCCTATAAACAACAGTACTAGTAGCACCTACCTGTGGACTTGTGAGGGCTGATGTGATAACCCAGGTAAAGTGTATGTATTAGTCCATTCTCACACTGCTATAAAGAACTGCCCGACCGGGTGCAGTGGCTCACACCTGTAATCCCAGCACTTTAGGAGCCTGAGGTGAGCGGATCACGAGGTCAGGAGTTTGAGACTATCCTGACCAACATGGTGAAACACTGTCTCTACTAAAAATACAAAAATTAGCCAGGTGTGGTGGCGCATGCCTGTAATCCCAGCTACTCGGGAGGCTGAGGCAGGAGAATCACTTGAACCTGGGAGGCGGAGGTTGCAGTGAGCCGAGATCGCACCATTGCACTCCAGCCTGGGCAATAGAGTGAGACTCCGTCAAAAAAAAAAAAAAAACTGCCCAAGACTGGGTAATTGATAAAGAAAAGAGGTTTAACTGACTCAGCTCTGCATGACTGAGGAGGCCTCAAGAAACTTACAACCATAGCAGAAGGGGAAGCAGGCACATCTTACATGGCAACAGGCAAGAGTGCATGTGAAGGAAGCAAAGGAAGAAGAGCCCCTTATAAAACTATCAGATCTCTTGAGAACTCACTCACTATCATGAGAACAGCATCATGGGGAACCACCCCTATGATCCAATCACCTCCCACCAGGTCTCTCCCTCAACACCTGGGGATTACAGGGATTACAATTCAAGAGGAGATTTGGGTGGGGACACAAATCCAAACCATATCAGTGCATCAAGTGCGTAAAAGCCAACCTCAGTCAATGGGACCTTCAGTTTCCCACACCCTAAGGACAAGGCCTGGGCTGCAGGGTCCTCATGCTCCCCAGAGGCACCATCAGTACTGAAAGAGGTGCCTAGAGCCCTCCATGGATTCCGACCTGGGGACCCCTGCCTCAACAAGCCAGATGCCTCAGCAAATGCTCAGGGCCCTGGGTGCAGACAGGGCTCCCCATGGAGCAGCTGTAAGGGCTGGGGGCCCCAGTCTTGGGCCCCACACTGAGCTTCAGAGCTGGGCACCCCCAGCATCCCACACCCTCCACTCCCCTGCTGTAGCTGGGACCTGGCCACTCACCAAGAATCCTGCCCATTTTAAAATGTTTTGTTGTTGAGTTGAAAGAGTTCTTCATAAATAGCGGATACTAGACCATTATCAAATATGTGATTTGCAAGTATTTCCTCCCATTCTGTGAGTTGTCTTTTCACTTTCTTGATAATGGCCTTTGATGCACAAAAGTTTTTAATTTTGATGAAGTGTCATTTATCTATATTTTATTTTGTTGCTTATGCTTTTAGTGTTATATCTAAGAATCTATTGCCAAGCCCAAGGTCATGATTTCCACATTTTTGTCTAAGAATTTTATAGTTTTAGGTGTTACATTTAGGGCTTTGACACATTTTGATTTAACTTTTATATCTAGTATAAGGTAGGGGTCCAATTTCATTCTTTTTCATGTGGATATCCAGTTTTCCCAGCACATCTGTTGAAGAGACTGCTCTTTCCCTACTTTATGGTCCTAGCAACCTTGTCAAAAATCAATTAATTGCAGATATATATATTTGTTTCTGCATTCTTAATTTCACTGTTATCTTTGATCTCCTGAGGAAAAAACGGGTTTGCTGATGGTCTGTCCTGATAGGGGCAATAATGGCCCCTAACCCTCTACAAAGTGCTTTTGCACAATTAATCTTCACTATTACTACCTCGTGAGGTAGGTCTCTGTTTAACAGGTGAGGAAACAGGCCAAGAGGGGTCAAGTGACTTGCCCAGAGCCGAGTAGCAGAACTGGGACTGGAGCCCAGATTTGTCAAATGCCAGAGACTTTGCTCTTTCTATTCCATCCCAGCTGCCCCTGACTAACATTTGGATAGCCCTTTCTGGTTCGATGAGTGTTTTAACAGATATTATCTCCTTTGTTTAGTTGATTTAATTTAAGAATTAAAAGCAAGTTGTTTTCACCTGTTGGGAGCTTCTTTCACAGTACGGAAGGAGAGCAAGAGAAGTACTGAGCATTATCAAATGTAAATCCTGGGAACTCTATCAAGGACCAGGGCAGAAAAAAAATGAAAGCAAAGATCCCGGGAGAGGATCTTTGATTCAAGAGATTAGAGAACACCAGTGGGGGCATAGATAAGGATACCAAGGAGGAATCATTGCCTAGATCACTCTATTAAAATAAGACCATGGTGTAAAAAGTTCAGGAACATCATTCAGGTGAGCCTAAGTACAATCCTTGGCCTACATCCAAGTGTGGTTGGTGACTTGTGATGTGCCTCTCCCTGAGTAGAGTCCCCCGGGTCTGCAGGGAGGCTCAGGGGTGCTAGCTGATGAAAGCCATTTCCAGAGAGTGAGGACAGGGGCTGTGAGCTGGCAGCCTTCAATGGAATCAGCTAGGAACCACCATTTCCAAAGCTGTGGGATCATGAAAGGAACCCTGACAAGAGGTGCTTGGTGAAAAAGATCTTAAATAAATGCTTGAAGAAGAGTTTGTTGACCAAAGATATGAGGATTTGAGACAAATTTTTAAAAAGTGAATATATCTTTCCATTTTCTCCTAATTGGTATCGCTGGTTTAGAGTAAACTGGAGAGGGAAAAAAAGTAGCATTCTTTCCAAAGTCCACAATCATTGTTTCAGAATAGACTCAGTTTTGTCCAGGCAAGATTGCTTTCACCATTTCCTGTGCTACCTAGTAACCTTTTGTGTTACTGGAGCTCAGAATGCTACTGATCAATAATGGCGGGGGGGGTTGTCTCACAATGTAAGTCCCAGAATTCTAACAGAAATACACATACACACACACACACAAACACACATTCCTATATGTGCACACAAATAGAAACAGGGCCCACATTTATTGTAAAATCAGATTTATTGATTTAAAATATAACCAGACCACTATTTTGGGCCATCTCTTTTGCCCCATCCCTGACCAAGTTTTCACTCCATTCCCCTCCCTCTTCTTCCTTCTCTTGTTGGCTTGTCCATTTTCTCTATATCCTCTACCCCCAACTCTCTTCTCTTCAGAGACTTTCCTATACCCATTTAATCTTACTCTCATGTTTTTTCCGTGTTGCCTTCTCTATAATAGTCAACTTCCTTTCAAATATTGTCTAGACCCTTGGCCTTGCTGAACACACAAAAACTTTTATATAGTTTACATTGCATGATTGTTTCTCCGCAGTTAGGCTTAATTCATTTAGATAGAAGAGCTGGTTTCATTTTGCAAGAGCTGGAGGGTATGTTTTTAATGGATAGAATGCCAAGGGAACATGATTTCTGGTACTTCCCGAGGGATAGAATTCCTTTTCAGAATTCTGGTGGAGAGGTAAGGGCATTTCTGAGTGCTCTCCTCTATAAAGCAAGCCAGCCCTTGGAATGATCAAGATCTCAGCCCTCTCCCACACATTAAAGAGGCTAACAAACATTTATCTGGCTGTCTGTGAGCTGCATTATAATGACTGAGGTTTGTAGCTCTTCAAACCTCCTAGAGATGTAAACAGTAACCCACTCCAAGGAAGAGAGCAACAGAACTGTGTTGAAACTTGCTGGAAGGGAGTTTCCCCCTGCCAACACCCTAACATGGTTGCCTTTGTGACTGCCAAAGCCTGCCTACACATTTTCATCACTTGAGAGGAAGCTTCTGCTTCTCTGTTAATATGCTGTAGATATGTTCCAGAAGGAAGACACACTGATTTTTCAGACATCTGTCAATTATACACATGAATGGAGGAGGTATCAATGACATGGAAGATGGAAAAAACATTTACCCCACACCTTGACCCATGTGGCACAAAGCAGTCCTACTTGGGAACTAATGAGTAGTGGTAACTTCCTTTAGCAGTGCTTTGGCTCTGATGAGAACAGGGCCTCCATTCTGGACAAGATTATTTTTAACCCATAAAGGGCTACACACACCACCATGTTGTGAAAAGGATATAAAATTATGTCTGCATCATTTTATTTGCCAAAAAAAAAAAGGGGGGGGATCAATATATTCTTCTTGGTCTTTCATGGCTTCTGTGCACTGCTAGAATTTTGCCTCTACTCTACAGGGCTGATGAGAAATATCTTCAGGAGAGCCCCTTAGCAAGGTTGGGATCTCTAAGAATCCTTACAACTTTTACAAACTCTTTGTGATTGAACGCACTCTGTCACAGCAAGAACACTAGCTTGTTCAGCCTTGTCTATTTGATGTTTTGCATTTTGAGTCTTATTTTTTTCTTTTTAATTCTTGTTTTTTAAAATCACACAAATAATTTCAACTTTTCTATAGGTTTAAATGTTTCAAGTTAAAAAGTTTGGGGAAAATGACACAATACAAATTAGTTGTAAACACTTTGACATATATAGCAGAAAATTAAGAATCCCTATATACCTCCTAATTCTACTACTCTCCCCAGAGATAAATCACAGTTAACAGTTTGCTATGCATCTTTCCAGGTTAATTTCTTTGCACTTACAAACGTACATACATGTATAATTTTGGGGGTCTTTTTTTAAAGCATAAATTGAAATCATGCTATATTAATATAACATAATGGCTTTTAAACCATAAAAATATATCCTGGACAACTTTCTCTAAATAGGTCCACATCATTGTTTATCAATAGCTGCATAGTATTCCATAGTATAGATGTACCAAGTTTATTTAACCATTCTCCTAGTGACGACTGTTTATGTTGTTTCTAATTTGTGTTTTTCTACAGAACCCAACTCTCCCAGCACTGAACTGCTCTGTTGAAAATACCCATCCAACAGTTTCTTACTATGCTCATCCCCAAGTGACATCCTACAATACCTACTACCATAGCCCTCCTCACCTGCCACCATATTCTGCTTATGACTTTCAGGTATGTTTTGGGAGAAAAAGAACTCTCTATTACCCTTGCTCTCACTCATGCTCTCTTGTTCTCTCCCTAAATTCAATTATGGAACCTTTCCATTGTCTGCATATGTATGAGGTAGCCATGCATCTCCCTAATGGCCAGAAGCCTGTGGATGCTAGCTTAAGGATTATGTAGGCAGGCAATGATGGCAGAGATGGGCGGGTGGAAACTGCCCAAGAGAAGAAACAGAGAGATGGAAGAAAAGGGGAGAGAGGGAGGTAGGATCAAGGTATCCCAAATTGCCTTGAACCACACCAAGGAGAAGATAAGCTAGTTGGGAAATGGCAGCTCATTTGTACGCTACCATGGACTCCTGTGCAACAGTGGCTTTTTCCATTCGTCTGATATGGGGAGAGGCCTAATCCTGCTACTTAATACAAGGGCATTCTGAGCCACACAAGGGTTTGAATCAAACCTGTAATGAGGAAGATGTCCCACTCTTTTTCTCCAGGCTTCCTAACTAGGACTACACAGAGCAATACACAGAGTATTTTTATAACACCCCTCCCCTTTTGCCCTGTTATCACGTAGGTCAGAAACAGCGTTACCAAATTTGCACTTTCCCCTTTTCCTTTTGAACTGTGACTACTAGTTGAAAAACAGAACCAAAAAAAGGCACTTAGTTAAAAGGAATTCATTGTATGCAGAACACTGAACTAGACGCTTTGGGCAAACAAGTGAAATGGTCCTTTAGGTATGTACAATGATTATAAACCCTTGACCACAGAAGAGCAAGGTCACACTAAAATCTAGTTAATTCAAACTTTAGTGACCGAAGGAAATACCTTTTAAGGAAGTGAAACTCATAATAAATTTGCTTCTATTGATCAAGAGACCATGAATGTTCCATGGGGACATAAAATTATGACTATCTGGGGGTACTCCAATTAACCAGCCAGTTTGGCAATACTAAGCCGTTGGGCAACCTAATTGCAACTTCAGTTTGGCAAGATAATTGAAACTTAAAAATCTGATTAAGTTGAATAAAGTGTTGTTGTGTTTGGTTTAGATACCGTTCAGAGAGGTCTGTGGTTCTATAATGCAACAATAATACATATAGTGTGAACATGCACTTTTTCACTTGTATAAAATATAGTACTAGTTCAAAAAGGTATCCATTAACCCATTTATGCCAGAGGTTGCAGATTTTTTTGTGTAATAAATCAGACTTTGGCGATGACCTTGAGCAGGAGGATATAAATAACTCCCACAAGCTTAGTGTTCCAGTAATGGGACACTAGGCATAAATGGGTTAAAGCTTAGAAATAAAATGATAAAATTCGTTCTAAAGCCTACTGTGTACACAGGTAGACAACCCAGGTAACTTGTTACCCAAATTGGTGGTATAGATTGGAAAACAAAAATATGTTCAAGAAGGGAATAATTTCAATAGTGACTGAGGCAACAAGGAATTCTTTAAAAGAATGCAGGGATGTTGAAGCTAAAACAAGGAGGGTCATCATTCTCTTGGGGTCCCTATAATAAAAAGTCATCCTGAAATAGAGGAGCCACACATGGGTCTAGCCCAAGAGGCCTCCTCTACTTTTATATCAAAGTAAATTACATTGATTTCAGGAATTTGCACTTTATAATGAACCCTTTAAGTAGGGACAATAATACATCTGGTGATGGTTACCACAAATTATAAGATAGGAAACCTCTCTTTTGGGTATGGAGCCATCATTCCTCATTCAAATCCTACCCCAGAAATGAAAGCAAGATTGAGAATGCCAGCAGTGACTTGGATTGTTGGTTTCAGTTCAATGAATGTTTACTCTGTGTTCCATGTGCCACATATTGAGCCAGGAGCTGTGGAAATAGAAATTAAATGAGACAGCCCCTGCATTAGTCTAGGGACTTGGGGGTTGGTGGTCAGGGGACAGCAGTGGGGACAAAAAGTAAAGAAAACATTACCCAGAATGCTATGGAAACCGTATACCTAACCCAAAGAAGGGATCCAGATTTAGCCACTTAGTCCAAACCTAGTAGCAGGGACTTCAGGGATTGTAGAAGCCTCTCCCTTTTTTTTTTTTTTTTTTTTTTTTTGAGACAGAGTCTCGCCCTGTCGCCCAGGCTGGAGTGCAATGGCACAGTCTCGGCTCACTGCAACCTCCACCTCCTGGGGTCAAGCAATTCTCCTGCCTCAGCCTCCCAAGTAGCTGGGATTACAGGCATGCGCCACCACACCCGGCTATTTCATTTTTTTGTAGCTTTTGTAGAAACAGGGTTTCACCATGTTGGTCAAGCTGGTCTCGAACTCCTGACCTCGTGATTCACCCACTTCGGCCTCCCAAAGTGCTGGGATTACAGGCATGAGCCACCACACCTGGCCCACCCTTACTTTTTAATAACAGCTACTATTCACTGAGTACTTACTATGTACTAAGCATTGTGCTAAGTGCTTTACCTATATCATCATTCAGTCATTTACCTCTTTGAGAGAACTACTCTTGTAATTGCCATTTTTAAGATAAGATGACTGAATCATGGAGAGATTAAGTGACTTCACCAAAGTCACAGAGGTGGTAAGTGAAAGAGCAAGGATTTATATCTAGGACTGTCTGATTCCAGAGATTGGGTTGGGGGATTTTTGAAGTTGTGAATCTAATTGGAGCACCGATCTTTTCCCCAGTTAATTTTGGGATATTTATACTTTCTACTGGTTTAAATCGTGGGCTTCCTACTCATGGTCTTCAGAAAGGGTCTCTTTACTCTTTATTATTAAATTATTAAATTGATCCCCACTGAAAAAGGATGCCCTTCCTTCATGCATTCCTCAGGGGGGAATTCAGGGGCTGCTTGGACACTTTTTATATGTCTCCCACTTCTTTCCCTAGGCTCAAAATGTCTTTAGCATTTCCTGTTCGAAGACCTTATAATTGTATAGCCTAGGTCTTGAGGGGGTAAGACTTTAAGTGATTTCTCTCTAGGATTTAAATGGTTTCATTTTAGTATTTTAGTTTAGCTTTATTTTGCTCACCAAGTTTCATTCCCTTATAGTTTCATAGGCGAAAATACCATTCTTTACACAAGAAAGTCAGCCAGGCGCAGTGGCTCATGCCTGTAATCCCAGCATTCTGGGAGGCCGAGGCGGGCGGATCACCTGAGGTCGGGAGTTCGAGATCAGCCTGACCAACATAGAGAAACCCCATCTCTACTAAAAATACAAAATTAGATAGGCATGGTGGCGCATGCCTGTAATCACAGCTACTCGGGAGGCTGAGGCAGGAGAATCACTTGAACCCAGGAGGTGGCGGTTGCAGTGAGCCGAGATCACGCCACTGCACTCCAGCCTGGGCAACAAGAGAGAAACTCCGTCTCAAAAAAAAAAAAAAAAAAGTCAAGAGGCCAAGAAACATCTGCTTATATTCCCAGATAAATAAAAAGCAGTCAGCAAATGCACTCCAGATCTGACAATAAAACCACCTGAAGCACAGACCCACCCCCAAAAGGCCAGAGCTCCCTCATGCACTTCTCATTGTAAAATGACCTAAGTTACAGTCAGAAAATGGACCTTTCTAGACTTTCTTCTGAATGACTTCCCATTTTGGTTATTTCCAAGTAGGACTATTTCTGTGACTTTGGGTTTGGTGATTTCAACTTCCTTTTGACCCTGAGGCTAATAGAAGGATGAGGAAAAAAGACTTTAATGTTTTGTTTTAACCCCTCAAAGTCATACCCTTATTGGGTAGCTGTCCAGTGAGGCAGCTTGGGAAACACTTCTTGTGGTCAGACATGAGCAAGGATTTGGGTCTGATCAGCTGGCCCTGAGGAAGTTTTGAGTGCTGAGCTTAGAGAAACTGGATTCTTTCAAGCACTGGGCTCCAGGGTGTCCTTGATTCTCAGGAACTCCCCATACTCCAAAGCAGGAAGGATATAAGCTGAGACTATCTTTGCCTCCTTGCTCATCTACCAACACTCATTTCTCTTGTCCTTTACACTATTTACCCACCAGCCCTTCAGCTTTAGCCAAGTAGTCCAAAATCTGTAGGGTACAAAGCATCAGTTTTTACTTCTGCTGGGAAATTAAACCCAGCTATTTATAAACCCCTCAAGGTTCCCAGCAATATTTCCCAGTCTGGCATACTGGGCCAGTACCCCTACTTTACTCTAACCATGGAATGGTCCCTTTCCCATCCATTTGGTGACCTGCCAAGTTTAAGCTTAAAACAAAAGTCTCAACCTATGCAATTCAAAAGTGCCTCTGTTTTTCTTTATTAAATCACGAGGGTACACTAGGTTTCACCCTAGCCACTAAAAGTTACTCATTATAAATTGGGCCCATTTAATAAAAGGATTGCTTTGATCCTAGGAGTGTACAGTTTATGGCATAGGTTGCTGAGAGCCTTAGAAAGCTGTTGTTGCTGTCACTCAACTTTTTCTTCCCCCCACCACCCGCCCGACGCCCCGCTGTCAAGTCTTTCCTTTCTTCCCCTCCTTTCCCTTGTTCCTGACTCACCCCTTTTTAAAAAATCTTTCTTTTATCCACTCTTCTCTCCATCTGTTCAAGCTTTGCTTCCGGGGGCAGAACAGAGAGGGAATGCACAGTACCAACAGATGCTGGATTTTACCCTTGGGATACAGCGTCTTTAGTAATTATCACCAGCCAGTTCCCGGGCTCTTTGTGAAGTCACTGTCCCACAAGGTTCCTGAAGAGAGAAGCATGCCCTGATGGAAATGCACATTGATCTTGAAGAGTGTGGGCCAGCCATCAGGCAGGCAGGAGGCAGGCTAAGGTGGAAGAGGAAAGCCATTTGTGTCCCTCAAAGGGTGGTGCTCCTCTTTGAGCACCATCAGCCTGTTGGTCACCCCAGCCTCTAAGAAGCAGCTCAGAAAGCTGGAGCTGACTAGGCCCAGCAGTAGGCTGTTTAGATGCTCTTTATGCTTGGTGGTGCACAAGGATTCAAAGCTCTGTTCTCCTGAGCTGTCCACAGCATTATTAAAGTCACACTCTCAGGCAGGAACCAGAATACACCAGGCCAACTCCCCAGTTGCGACAAAGCCAAATCTTTCCCAAGGTGCCTGCCTGTTGCTAGGAAACTATGCAGTGGTACTGTGGGCCTTTTCCCCTACTAAACCCCAACGGTGTGTGGACTGCAGCCAGTTAGCTCCCTAGCTCTGCCAGGAACCCTTCAATTTTATCCTTAAGACTCCCAACATCCTCAAAGGGAAGTGAGAATCATGCCCCCCTCCCCCCCTATACTTCTCAAACACAAAACTGAGAAGTGAAAACCCAAGGGCCGTTGTACCACCCCCTTTTATTATCAAAGTGTACAACTGCCACCCACAGCAGCTGCTGCCCACAGAAGCCTTTTAATGCCTCTCAGGACAGAACTGCCTTTAGCTTCACTTCAGGAAACTTGCCTCTCCCTTCTGTGGCTGGGAACACCTAAAACTGGCCTGCTGCCTCTCATGTCATCTCTGTAGTGGGATTTAGAGAGGCAGTGAGTGCCACATGCCCAGGCACAGAGATTCTTTGCCCTGGTGGGTTTTTGTTCCCCTCTCTGGTTAAGAAGAGAGAGTTCTTAGTTGAGGAAAGCAATAGAACAGGAGGGAGGGAGAGGAGGAGGAAGGGAGAGTTTGAAGGGTACAAGATGGAAAATCAGGAAATCACTATACTGATGTTTTAACAAAGGGTGTCTTCTTGGAGGGAGGAGAAAAATTGAGTTTTTAGGAAAGAATCTAGATTGTCTTGAGTCCACTGCCTCAGGTTGTTTTGCCTTTAAGGGCTCTCCAGGTTCTATGACCCTGCCATTTCTTCACTCAGAGTGAAATAATGGATGGGATTTGGGAGGCAGGGGATGATGGCAGCTATCATCTCTTCTCAGTCTTAACATTATGTGGTAAGGAAGATATTTCTGTGCCTCAAGCAAGGCTTAGAAATCTGGACATAGGTTTGTTTGTGTATTTATTTGTTGTTTTCGAGATGGAGTCTCACTCTGTCACCCAAACTGGAGTGCAGTGGCATGATCTCGGCTCACTGGAACCTCTGCCTCCCAGGTTCAAGCGATTCTCGTGCCTCAGCCTCCTGAGTAGCTGGGATTGCAGGCACCCACCACCACACCCAGCTAATTTTTGTATTTTTAGTAGAGATGAGGTTTTGCCATGTTGGCCAGGCTGGTCTCAAACTCCTGACCTCAGATGATCCACCCACCTCGGCCTCCCAAAGTGCTGGGATTACAGGCCTGAGCCACCACGCCCAGCCTAGGTTTTATTTTTTAAAAGCATGCCAAGTTCATCTACTATGCTCCTGAAATTGTATTCACTCATTCAAGATTTATCGAGCACCTATTACATGGCAAGTACTGTTCTGAGCTCTGGAGGATACAGCAACAAACACAACAGGCCAACTCTCCTTCAGCAGGGAACTCACTAGGGTCAAGGATATACATAGGCCAGGGAGAGAAAGGGGAAAATGACTCTTGCCAATTCACTGCATATTTTAAAAACTTCATTTCCATTCCTTTCCCAAAGACTAACAACCTTTCCCAAAGTAAGACAACACAAAGTAAAACTGAATACTCAGTGTCTCTGCAACCTGACACATTGTTCCTCATTCTCACCTCCATGCCTTTGTTACTCTTTGCTCTCCAGCCTACTGTGCACTTGGGGATGAGAGGGCAGCAGTTAAGGTGGAGTAGAAAATGTTGGACTTGGAGTCAGAAGACTCCAGGTCCAAACAAGCTATTTAACCTCTCTGACCTTAGTTTCCTGTCTATGAGAGGGGCTCCTGACTACTGTACTACCTCTCTGTGATATACTCTTTTAGCAAAGACTTTCCCAGGGATCAATGGCTTAACCTCATTAAATGTTCTCAAGGCCAAAAATTACCTTTTTGAAGACTAGTTGGGATGTTGTTGCCATAGCTTAAGGGAAAGGTATTGGAGGCTTGAGTTATAAATGTAGAAAAGGTAGTGATGGATTTAAGAGACAACACAGAAGTAGAAGCAACAGGATTTGGTGATTGATTGGATGTGGACTGTAAGGGGTTGCAGAGGAGGATTCCAAGATATTTCTGCAGGTGGCTGTAGTCTGAGTGACTAAGAGAACCACCTGTTTCATGCTCATTAACTCTGTGAGGTTTAGCTCTCTGTTCTTCCAAATAGAAAAAAAGGCTCTGGCCCATATTCATTTTTAAATAGTAATGACTGTTCAGGGAATTGCAAACTCACTGCCTAAACTAACGTTTTCTTTTTATCACACAGCATTCCAGTGTCTTTCCATCCTCCCCTCCCTCTGGACTTTCTGATGAGCCCCAGTCTGCCTCTCCCTCACCCAGCTACATGTGGTCCTCAAGTGCACCGCCCCGTTACTCTCCACCCTACTATCCACCTTTTGAAAAGCCACCACCTTACAGTCCCTAAAGAGGAATGCCTGCTGGCTATTGAGATTATTGTGGCTTTTGTATTTCTGCTTCAGTGGAAGTGTGTAGGGTACAAAATTTAAAGTGTGACTTTTATGCATAAAGTTTTACAATGGCCTGCCAGGCTAGGGAAAGATAGGGATGAAGCTTATTCATTATTAGTGCAGAGCAGGGGTGGCTAGGCTGAACCCAGCACAGAAGAAGGGCAGCTCACACTCTCTAAGCAAGGCTGGGGAGCCAGCCCAGCAAGAAGCTTGTCGTGTTTGGACCTGCATTACCCTATGCTCCACCTCTGTATTCAGCAGAAGTGTGGCTGCCATCTGTTTCACTTTATGTAAAGAAGTGTTGTCCTCAGGCCCTTGGCAGATTGCCACCCCAGCACCTAGGTTGAAGCACCCGGCTTATAGGTCCTATCTTTCCCTACCACTAAAGTCAGTCCCTAAGGACAATTTCCCAGCTGATGGGGCTACACAGTAGTTCCAATACAGAGAGTTCTGGCTAAGATTTTGTTTGCTTGTGTCTGGATGTTGAAAAAGGCTGCCCATATCTCTTACTCCTTTCTTCTCTGTGAGTATTGTAAAAATGGCTGTTGTGATCACTCAGCTCAGCTTTTGTTATTGGTACCTCCTAAAGGGAAAAGTGCAATATTCTTGCATCTTGAGTAGTGGGGAACAGGATGTATTGTTCCGGAAACACTGAAATACACAGCAACATGTGAGATGCTTTAAGTAGATCACTTAGGAGACAGTGGTTCTACTACATGTTGCATTATTACAAAATACATTTGCTACAGGAGATATAAATCTTATGGTTGTAATTAAGAGTTTAAAAATGTTATAAATTAGGTTCTTGGGTCGTGATATGAATTGTTACTAATCTTTGTGACTATTTAATCTTCAAATATTGTGCTTAACCCCAGCAATCCGCACGTATCCTGCACCCCACCCCAAAAGACTGTATTTTAATACCACTGGTCTTACTGGTCCTTTTTTCTGTTGAGACCAGTCACGACAGCATTCAAGATTATGAAAGTGTTACAATGCCGCTTCAAGTCTGCAAAACCTCAAACATAACCAACTTGACAAATACTTAAGTGTTATGGTAGATTTAAAATCCATCTGGCACACCGTGGTAGATTATTTGTACAGTTCTTTTAATTACACATAGCTTTAAACCATCAACCTGATAAGTTTAAAACACTTTTGCACCCATGCCTTCACTTCAGAATGAACACCTTCATTGTGATCTTATGCTAACCTGAGAATTGATTTAAAGGAAGATTGATAATCCTAAACTTTATAACGTAAAAAATACAGGGGCTACAGGACGGTACCTAATTAGACAGTTCTCCAAACACAGAACACACACTAGAAAAATTTCCGGCCAATATTGCTACCTCCCAACTTAATGGATTAGAGGTAGCAGACAAATGCTGGTGCTCCCATCTACCTTGTAGACACCCAGCCATCAAGAATCAAGGCACAAGAAGTGCACTCTCTCATTATTAACAGTAAATGTTTGCAAGATATCCAGTTTAACTTTCAGCATCATGAATGTTGTCTTATCCAGATTTTGAATCTGAAAAACTATAATCCTTTTGTGTTATACAAAATTACTATGATTTTTTACAGTTCTGAGCATATTAAAATTCTACTGGATTTCAAAGAGACTAATACCCAATTGACTTACTAAACAAATACCAACTTGTAATACTCAATGAATTTTTTTGCCATTTACACTTGACCATTTGCTTTAGTGAATGTCTGTATTTAATTTTTTAAAGGCACCATTACACAGTATATCCTACATTTATCACATTTCTTAAAGTGTTAAGATTCTATGGCTCATTTCTATGTATTTTTCTTACTTTACAAAATAACCTGAAACAGTATAGATTTTGTAACACTTAATTTGAGCAGCTTTTATTACATTGAATTATATAAAGTGCATGTTACCTTGGAAAAATTATTTGCTGCTTTACTCTTTTGCAAAACATTTGCTGTAATGAAGGGATTTGTATTTCCAATATGTATCTTGACTGCATTTTGTAATATTTACTGCTTTATTCCTAATTCTGCTTTAAAGTATTGAACTGGGCATGAAACATTAAAATATTAATCCAGAACCTGTATAAACTGGATGTTGCTTAAAATCTGTATCACTGCCATGTTGAAAACTCAGACTGCTTTTGTGATGTTTCAAATGAATAAAACTATCCTCCTCCTTATCCACTTGTGTCAAGGTAGCTATAAAAGTACAGCAAATGCTCTAAAGCAACTGACAGCAGCTGACTCACTTTTGACTATTAGGGTTCAAGATAAAAGGGGACATGATTAACCAACATATAAAACCTAATGGGAAATTCTGCCATGCTGTCATCAGAAATACAGCTCCAGTCTCCTGCTGCAAAAATTGAAAAATGTAAAAACCCATATAATTTCTGAAAGACAATCTTGTAAAACACGCACTCAAACATCAGAATTAAATCATTTTATTTTTGCCACAAGAAGCTCTAAGAACTAATATCAGGCCATGGTTAATGAAAAGTAGAACTTAAAGTCATGACAGGGAAGATTGTACAAGTGTGAACATTACAGTACTGGGAGGAATGAACAAGGTTTCATATGGTTGACCAGCCAGAAAGCCAGTGCTGTTAAGTTAGCATTTAATTCTTTAGAATATGCATGCCTTGACAATACAAAATACCTTGATCAATGTTTACCATTTTTTATCTTTTTGGTACAATGGGGAAAATTGTGGCATTATTTCTTCATAGTAGTTGTGTGTGGGGGATCGTTACCACCAAAATCATAATAATCATTTAAAGTATATTTTAAAGTTAGTCTTGCAAGATTGTTATGGCATTTTAAAATTTCTGTAGTTTAAGCATTTTCATTTTGTCGTATCTCTTAACAAATTACTATTTCAAGTAGTTCCTATCCAGAATATTTACAGGTAATTTAGCATAGGAGCAAATCTGAAGCTAACTTCAAAGACGAAAAGGAAGTTCAAGAGCCAGAGAGCTAAGTATAAGATAGAAAAACCACATGATAATTTTAAACAGCATCTTGCTACAGATTTCCAATCCAATAAATACCAGGAATGAAGGACTTCTGCCCCAAAGAAGTATTTCACATGAACTGCGAACTTTGGATATGGAAACTTATAGAAAAACTGAAGACCCTGAGACACATGCAAGTAAGAGTCTTCTGGCAAAAATACAATTTAATTTTCCAGTTTCTCTCCTCCCAAAAAACTCCAGAAGATACCTTTAGTAGGCACAGTTTAAATGTCATATTCAGAATTTACAGAGCACAGCAGCAGCAAATAATTACATCCCTATTATTCAGAACACATAGTTTTCCATTATAGAATTAGTTCCTGGTTTGTCATAATAGGCTTGTAGAAACTGCCAAGTTTTATTATGACAAACTAATTGACCTAGCAGTTGAGTCTGAAAGATCTGGAAGCTCTGCCGGCACCCGTATCATTCACATTGGTAGAAGTAATTATGTCTAACTGGTGAAATAGCATTAATGAAACTCAAACAAATTTTCACTGAGAACATTTCAGAGTGCACACTATAGTCAAAGAGTGATGTTATCAATATCTACACAAAAAAGAAACAGATATGGTGATTCCAGAGATCACAGAGTCTTAAGTTATAAGGTAATTTCAAATTTCCCAGGGGTTAGTTTACAAATGGTTTGAAGGTCTAGACTTACAGAACAGAAAACAGATAAATGCACATCACTCTACCCCTTGGCAAGCAAAGGATTTTTTTTCTTGTATTATTGCATGTACTGATGCCTGATACCCTCAGCTACCAACTTAAGAAACACTGAAACCACTACCTTCAAATCCAGCTTACCATCAGAAGAACGATGTATACATAAGAAATTATTATTAAAGCTTTAAGTTCAAAGTCAAGAAATAGGCTATTTTTTAAAATACATGGTAAGGAGAAAGAAAATATCTATGTTGGACTAAGAAATACTTAAGCAAGGTTACAAATGACTAATAACTATGCACAACAATCTTTTCCAGTATCAATTTTTTCCTTTGCAAAAAAACAAAAAATCATTTACAGACGTTCAACAATTCTGTTATAAATGCTAGGCTATATGTATGTTCCAACCTGCTTCCTTTTAGTACTAGCACAGTTTAGTACTAGCACTTCAGTAAGTGTTAACTTTATTTTCTAAGTGTTTAAATATGTGTCATTTTAAAAAGAAGAAAAGTGGTATTTATTGTTGTCAAGAAAAATGGGAACTGACAAGCCTATATAACATTCCTTATGTAGTTTCTGATTGCTATAATATTGCAGCAATTTGCAGATGGAATAAAACTTATTTTAGAAGGGGTAAAAACCTAACAAATCTTGCTGAAAGGAAAATACTAGATCACTGATTCAACTATTTCAAATAAAGACTTCCTATTGGAGATTCTACATAATATGAACATTTAAAAATATATGCCAGTAGCCTCCCACCCAAAATATGTAAAGTCTCACCCATGGAATCTATCATTTACAAGGATTTATACATAAAGATTCATTTGGTGGCTTTCAGATTCAAAATTTGAAAATTTTCATGGGAATATTTTTAACCATAAGAAGCAAAAAGGAAATCTTCATTCCATTCTCTACAATGTGGTAGCCAGAGAATTAAAAATACATGCAACAGAACTTTTCATCTCCTCCTATCCGCCATTACAGAGATTTTTTTTTTTTTCGTTAGTTTTTTGCCCCCAGAGACCACATTGCAAAGGTATAAAGTGGTCTAGCCACCAAAGTCTTTTACAGACTATGGCAATGAAAGCAAGGATTAATTCTGATTAGCTAAATCTAATTTGTTCTTCAGATGAGAGACTTGTCTGCATGGCTATTTTCATGGAGAGAGGGTAGCAGGAGGTTGCTCTCCGCTTGGACTAGCAGATTACACAACCCAAGCAGAGACTTATTCTGACATTTTCCAGAACAACTCTAAAACTTTACTCTTTATGCCATATACAGGACAAAACACACATTTATTGTCTCAATGTTAAGAAAATTGAGAATTCAGCAGTAAAGTGCTAACATGGAAGGGGAAAGTTGTAAGACGTACTAGGGTATGCTAATAACTCCAGTTATTTTCAAAGAACATTCAGACTGCTTCAAATTCTATTCAGAAAACTATCTCTCCAAGCTTTTAATTTTTGCCTTTTAAATGAGCTGAAAACTAACTATATAAACAGATACTTGGGGAGGGGGTCTCACCTCTAGTCAAAACTTTCAGAAAAATTTGCTTCTAAAAATTATGAACAAAAATCCCACTACACTTCTTTCAGATAATGTGGCAGATCAAATTAACTTATTTGCACCTTGTTTTACAGATCTTCTGAAACCCCTGCCCCATCATCCAAAACACAACTTTCTAGTATTTCAAAGGAGTTTAGTAAGATTCTGGTATTATAAATTCAAACTCAGTACTGCCATCTGTTACATTTTGTTTAAAAATTGAATCATTTTCCTGCTGAATAAAAATATCTTCCCAGGTCATTGGCTTGTTCTGAGTAGATGTAGTGGTCCCTACTGGAGGTTCTTTTCCAGTGTCAACCTTATACCCAATACCATCACCCTTCATTGCAGGCATAGTGCTTGATCTATCGGAAAGATATGCATATTGTCTAATTTGCAAAGACCTGCATGGATGTAAACGATAAAGCTTTGAGTCCCCAGAAGGATCTTGACTATGAACTGACTTTATATGTGAAGACATAAACTGATAGTTGATGAAAGATTTGCCACAGGCCAAACACTGATACCTTCGCTCCCCTGTGTGATGAATTTCATGCTTTGTGCGATATTCTGCAAGAGGAAATACCTTCTCACAGTAACGGCACGGATACTTCTTCTCCCAAGAATGAATGTTAAAATGTCTCCGCAAGCTTGTCAGACAGACATATGACCTTTTGCATACAATACAGATATAATAGACCCTTCCATCTACTATTAACTCATAGTGATCATCATGTTTTACTTTCATACGTTTGTTTGCCATCTCGCTGCCAGACGTTTTTGGTATTTCATTCTCAAGTCTGGCCTCCCCTTCATCAGGGTCATCTTTGACAGGGATCACTATATCATAAGTATCTTCACCGATATTTGCATAAACCTTGCAACCAGTCGATAAGCCTTCAATTTCAGTAGCTGTATCTAAAGTAATGATCTTCTGACCCTCCATTAGATGTTTTGATCCTAAGCCTGGATCATTGGTATTTCTAGTAATTATATCTGAAATTTTTAAGGAATTGGAAAGTGGTTCTTGAAGAAGTGTAGGAATCTGCATCTTCTGTATTAATGATCCATCAAAACTGGTATTTTGGGAGGTATCAGCCTGTGGGACCAAAGATGTATTACTGACGGCCGAGTCAGGACTGGAGCTAATAGTGTCATCATCATCATCTATAATTTCCTCCTCCTCCTCTTCATTGGCCTTGTTTCCTGTTAAAATAGCACTGTTTGGTGTCTGCTGATTCTGCACAAGTAAATTGATTGAAGAAGGTATATGATTTGGAAGTGAAGAACTGACATTTGGTGGTGTAGAAAGTGGTGTCTGATTTAACAAAATAATATTAGGAGTCAGATGTGTTGGAGCTGAAGATACCAACAATTTTTCACTTCCTTGTGTTTGGCTCAGAGTTGCCTGATTCACAGGAGTGGGAAGTTTCTGAGTAGGTGTGATATTTGTTAAAGGGGGAGAGTTATTGCTAGCACTAGGTGCAACATCTGAAATAGCAACAGGGCCTGGGTTAGACTGGACCTGTGCCACTGTGTTATTACTTGGCAAAGTCTCCTTTGTGGGCAGAATCTCGGAGCAAAAAATGACATCATCATCATCATCATCATCAGAATCGGTAACAATGATCTTTTTCATTTCATAATCTTCGGCAGATAATGAAAAAGACTCTGTTATAATAGGCATTATAGTAGCCCCGTTATCTTGGGCTTCATCTTTTGACTTCTGTATTACAAGGTTCTTGTCACCAGAATCAGGAGGTAAAGGTTCAGTATTACCATCCTGAGCTGTACCTGAGATGCTTTTAACCTGTGACAATGGGACACCAAGCTCTGCTATAAATTTCACTCCTAATAACTGCCCTGATTTAATTAACTCATCAAGCAAATCTGATCTAACACGAACAATTTTAGAACTATAGATATAATTGAGAATTTCTGCAAAGATCTCTGCTCTTATAAAGCTCAGTTCAACAACTTGCCCAGCAACAGAGAAGAGCTGATGGAAGTAGGTACTAGAAGCTGAAAGAATATTCTTGTGGGCCCGGAATTTTCGGTCTTCCACAATAACGGTAACATCACAAAAGAGTCCATGGCCACGTTGCTCATTCAAG